AGTTTTCATCCGGCCACTCCCACTCTAACGCCCACAAGTCTTCGTTTGACCTTGTATAACATATTTATGTTATTTAGCGATTTTTCAAATGACGCTTATAAGGCCTCACATGGGCTTTGTGAATTTTCACTAAGAAAATGATTATTTTAAAATTGTGTAAAACAGTAACGGGTATCTTATAGTAGCGGCATTCGGCTGTAGCGTTTCTTCTTGTTTATAATGCTCCCATTGCGAATTATTTTTTACCATCTGATCACTCCCACTCCCACGCCAAAAACGCGCAAATCAAAAATGGTAAAATCGGGGACTATAAGAGCTAGAAAGTTAGGCTAAGACATACGTATTCTTCAGATCCTAACGCAGCTCGACGTGATTTTTCATCGTCCACACACTCTATGACTCCCACAACCCACGAAAAACTGCGGCGTTCGCAATATTAAAACTTCGATCTAGTAAATATGATTTAAGTAAGACGAATTGGCCAGTTCGAAGAAGGGATTTGAACTTATATAGTAACGTCATGCCCGACGCGATCGAAGGCGTCGAGAAAGATAGCAGAGCTGTATGGCTTAGTTTCAAAGGCATTCAAAATATGGTGCACAACTCAAAATATATATGTGTCCGGTACATTCAGGCCCGTCCAAGCGCTTCGATTCAGCTCATGGGAGACTTGCCGCCATTAATCCTCCTCCGGCACTTTAATCCTCCTCCTCCCCAATTTTGGCGGGATGTGGGTGGGTAACGTAAAATCGGTAAAACTTGACCTCAAGAAGGTCATTCCAGATCGACGGCTTACTTATGTGTTTGTAAGGTGATTGTAAGTGTGGGATATGGGTTTATTAAGGGGCAAAGCAGCCTTTTTAATTTCATATAGGGACACACTGCTCGGATTTCCACAACCTCGTAGCTTTTTTCCATCAGCCAAAACGCCAGATAGAACTGTCTCTTTTCATCAAAGAATGTCTATACCCATCACCCTGTTCCTAATAGAAATTGAACCTTATTAATTAAAGTTTGAGTCAGTCGATTGCGAATATTGAAGAGAACAAGTGTCATCCATAGAGTGCGCAAATCGTGAAGTTTGTTTCTTTAATTTACCTTTTTTTATATCCGAAATAAACATTATCAATTTGTACTACCCTACATAAGTATAGAAGCACTGTAAGAACTCGCGGCAGCTGTACGCTGAGAAGGATTTGAACCAGTCAAAAGAAGTTTGCAGTGACGAGGATGAGGAACAGGAGGTAACGGCCACGATCACGGTTTAATATCCAGCAATCAATGGCCACGCCATTTCTGAAAGGCTTGGAGTCGGGACTGACTAGCACATTTACAGCATAGGCCCAAGTGGTGCCAGGCAGGGATGCGTTAATTCGGGTTGTAACATTTAAAACCAAGATTTTGCCAGTTGAAACGTTCAGTGTCGAAACTACGTCCACAGCCAATCCGTTCGGCCGCCCTCACTTACACACCTCGTTTCATGTTTCACCTTTGTATACCAGATATTCAACCACACCCCCAACCAGGATGGAGCGGATAAGGGAAGGTGTCTCATGCTAGTTCTGCATTGGCGGGCGGCATCTTTAGTTTACTGCTTGCCCTATTAAACATTTCGTCTCTTACAAATTCGAAGGACTCAATATTTTTTCAAATACCATTGAATAAAGAAGTTTTTAAAACATACAAGAACAAGTTGTCGACAAATAAAACACGTTTTCTGTTTGTTTTTGTTTATTTGGAATTACTTAATTCCATATCAACATAATATTTTTATTGAATTCAGTAAAATTTTTCAAACATTTCATTTTTATTAGTCGTACATGAATTTATTTTTAGAGGTTTCTTCAAGTTTTATATAGCTTTTTGTTGTTCTTCATTTTTATTTTTTTTGTTGATGTTCATTTACTTGTTGATGTAAGTTCCGTTAATATTACAGCTTATATTTTGTATATTCTTTTAATATTTATAGTTAAACTTAAATAATACAAAAAGCAGTGTTTGTTTTTCGTCTTTTTACCCACATTTTAGTTTTTCTGTGATTTTATGAAGGATTTGTTCAACATCAGTTAAATCAATTGTGTTTTAACTTTTGAAAGTCGTAAAATAGAGAACGAAATCAATTTATTTTTATTAGATACCCTTTTCGGATTTAACAACTTTTGAACTAAATTGATTTTCTCTTTTGTTTTAATATTTATAATTAAGTTACTACTATGAACTTTGAGTTTTCATTTTTTACTATATACTTCATAAACTAAATTTTTTAGGCTTCTACTAACTTCTTGTAAGTTGCGGACTGGGGCTTGAGTTAAATTATTTTATTTAATCTTTTGTGTTTGTTTGTTGGTAAATCAAAAACCATAAATGTATGCATGCTTAATGAAATTACCATTGTTTCTTCATCTTGTTTACCATTTATGTATATAACATTTGCATATATTTATAAGTATATATATGTCATTATGTTATACTTGCTTAGATCTATGTAGCTTATTTAAAATACAGTTTCCTTCCATTTTTCTAGTTTATTTTATTTTTCTAAAGCCGTTAATTTTCCCAATTTGTTTCGTTTATTTCGTAAGTATTTCTACCAATTGCAAATGAAAATGAAGTCAACAAATATTCTCTAAAGAACTTTCGATTTGTCTTGTCGTTTGTCTTTCTCTTCTGAGGGAGATCTTAAAAACATGTATATTAGGGAATTTTTAGAATGAAAAGGTTGCGGTCTAATTTGCTATTATTCGTAGCGGAAGTTCAAGAAAATTCTTGGACACATGATTTAGTCCAATAAACAATTATTGTAAAATCGGTTTAAATCTTTTTGAACATTCATTGTTGTCGGTTTACATACTAAAATGTCAATTTTAATGGTTTTTATTTTCCTTTACGTTTTAGTTTACATACATAAAAAATGGCAGTTTATATATATGCTTGTTAAATATAATTCTTTTAAATTGTGTGCTAGTAGTTACCGCTAGTGAAGAGTTTAAAGTGTTTAAAGCAATTTGTAATTATATAAAATATATATATATATATATATCAATATTTACCTTTATATATATCTATATAAATTTTATACATACATGTATATAAATTATCTAACAACCGCTGGCAGGCGTATCCAATCTAGAATCAAAATCTAATCAAAATACATTCTTAATTGAATTTTTTTAGCTATAGGGTCAAACATTTACTTGGCAGTTCTTTTGAAATATTTTTATGTGTTTACTATATCTGGTTATATATCATGGAAAATATTTTTTTGTTTCATTAACAAGATCTCTTTTACCCTAGATAACCTATTAATATTTATCGGCGGTTTTAAGGGAACACACTTTGCCGGGAAAAAAATCAAGACTAATTTTGTGCGTGAAAACTTGAGATGAAAATAACGGAAGTAAAGTAACGCAATTTGAACTCTGCCAACGGTTACTTGGACATTAAAGAACCTTTCTTGCTAGTGATCTCCCAACAGATATTTTATGTACTCATTTCTGACAATTTTGCTGTAATTTTATTATACTACTTAACTAATTACCGTCATTTTATAATTTATTAAGCTTAGTTTTAGGAAAACATGCAATAGCAAAGATTTAAGAAAACAATTTTTTTTATATTTTCTCGGGCTGCTTTCAATAACTTAAACTGGTTAAAACTAATTTAACATATTTAGGCCAGACAGATCTTTTAAAAAGTATAAGGATGTACGAAAAAAATTCGTTAAGAAAAGTGGACAAGAATTAAGTTTTCCCCATCTGTGGTTGAAACAGAAACCTTTCCATCATAATTGAAAACATTTATTGTTAAGGTATGCACTTTTTCATATTACAACACTTTTATTTGATCTTTAACTTTTTTTTTATTTTTTTTAGCCAACCCCTATAGCATATTTCTGGCTCTTCACCTTACAATACTCTTAGAAGATACATTAGTTAAAGTGGATGGAAAAGGGGATAATTATTAAGCTTTTGCTATGCCTTTTGCAACCTTTTTTGTCTTCATTTAACTTTTGGGAAAATAGAGAGCTCAAATATTTTTTATCATATTCCGCCTGGATTAAACACAAAAAAAAATTTTATAATATTTAAATTTTAGATGGACTGTTGGGAAAATAATAAAAAGGCTTTGGGACTGCACTTGGTATTTATACCCATTACACGTTTTTGATTCCCTTTGTTGGTTCGCTGTAAAGCATATGATGGAAACGGAGTTAGTTTATCGTTAAAACAAGTTGGATTTATTTATATTATTGTTGTGGTGTTGTGTACATAATATTTATAATTTTATATGCTTCTCATTTTTATTGTATATTTTTTCTTTTTAGCTTTATTTAATTTATTTAAATTAGATATTTCCATGCGATCTACCCAATAATGATCTTGGATTTGGGATTTTCAATAATAAGTGAAGAGTAATAATTTTAAATATATCTCAGTTTTCGTTTTGTGTTCATCCAGTTATGCCTTTTTATTAAGTTGCCGAGCCTCAGTTGCCGTTTGCAGATTTTTAAATTTTTTTTATTCAAGAATCCAAAATTTAAGTTGTTTTGCTTTGTTAATAAATAAATAAAGTATTTAAACAAATGAGGGACCTATGTTTATAAGGTTTTAATATGTGAAAATGCTTGGCTCTGCTTAAACTAAATAGCGTAACAAAATAATTTTTCGGGACTCTAGACAATACACATTTGTATTTCAGAATTTGTTTTTCGAAAAACAGCAGAATAGAGTGGTTTATATCAAGTTTTATTTGTAAACATAAATGTTTTTGTTTACTTTTCCTTCTATGACAAATTATATATTTATATATTTATTTTTTATGTAAAATATATATCAATTGTCATACATAAGCACTTCAACTTATTATGGTCATCACTTAAGGACAATTGATGCTTTGCATTTTAAAGAGTTTTTCGCTGTTCATTGTCGTTTATATTTTTGATAAAACTCCTCTTTTGCAAATAACACTAAAACCAATAAGAATAGCGTACGAAAATGTGGTTTTTGTTTTAAAAGTTTATTTCTGAACTAATATGCTTGTTGTCTAAATTATGAACTAAATAAAACTGTCCTAAAAATAAGGTGTTTGTGTGATTTTGTGTGGGGTGTTCTTTATTTAGCGTTGGGTAAGTTTTTATTTTCTTTAGCTTTTTATTTTGCTTTATAGGGCTAGTTTTTGTAATTTTTATGTTTTTCATTTTGTTCTGGTAGCTTCTTTTTTAATTTTGTCTTTGGTTGCTGCTGTATCTCGCATGTTTTTTCTTGCAATAACTAATTGTTTATGCATTGCTACACTTTTCTTGTTTCTATTTTGCTTGTGGGTTTTGTTGCTCTTTTGTTTCTATACTTCTTTCTTTTCTTTTACTTCAATTTCTCTTCGATTTCGCGATATCCGCTGCTTTGATACTGCCGATCTGCCGATCCCTTCTCACCGTTGTCATTTTCATAACGTGTTTCTTAATCAACCATCAACTCGAAGTGAACGGATCCTCTTCTGTCTGAACGGTCGTGGTTGATGTTACGGGCCCAAGCTTTACATTCAATGTTGATCAAAACGCCGGCTGAAATATAACAAATGTATTTTTAACATCCTGTACATCTTCAAAGGCACACAATTATACCCGTTACTTGCTACCCGCTTCCGACCCATGAAATTAAATTACACTGAAAGTAACAAGTACAAGTCCGACCGACAGAGCTTAAAGCCTAAAGGGTTGTTGGTAAAACACATTCAGGATTTCCAATACGATTACATCAAAATGAACCTAACTTGACCTCACTTTAACAGGGCGAAATAAGAAAATAAATATGTGCTATCCCAATACCGAAGAACATTTTAATTGTTAGCGACCCCTTTATCTAAACAGTTATAATCCGAATAAAGTGCTTTGAAAGTTGAGGCACAGGATGCACATTGCGTTTCACATCAGAACTACTTTCTTTAAATTTATTGTGCCGCATGTTTCGGGTTTTGCGTGCACCACTGCTTTGTGTGTTGTGTTCCGCTCAGGTAACAACAATGGCTGATGAGCGCCAGATCTTTAACTCGGTCACAGCTTATACTCATTTTTCTAGCTCTTTTATGTATGAATAGACATATCCGCCCTTCCACGTGAAAGAACAATAAGAGGCAAAGTAACCCCAAGCCGGTTTACCTACCACCTAATAAAGTTAGGTTCGCTTAATTAAAATTTATTGTTTATAAACACAAATCAATTCTGTTAATTACTGAGCCTTAAAAAAATATTTTTTATAATTACCCCATCGGACTAATAACCATATTTTTTTAACACCGCCTGGTTTAATCCAGGTCACTACTACGCACTTATTAGAATTGTGACCTAATAAACAAAAGTTGAGATTTTGTGAAAAAATCAGATTTTGATGTGTAAAACGAAATAGGAGATAGGAGAGAATGGGAGATTATACTTACTTTCAACGGTGAATTGAACAGCAACAATGGGCGGTATGTATCCCTGAATATTTTTGAAGGGAAAGTAGTAACGAGGGAAACCCATGCGTGGATAGTAATCACGTGCTTTAATGTTCTCGACATCGGCGGGATTTTCACCCTCACAGGAGACCCAAACTACATTTGTCTAAGAGCAGAATCAGAGAGAGAAAATTTATAATTTTATTGTTTTAGATTGGCTTATTATTGATATATTCTTTCCTAGCTTACTTCATTGGGCCGAAGGCTTTGCTTTTCTTTAATGTGCTGCTTCAGTTCCTCCGGCATATGATCTGGTAAGGTTTTCGAATCATTGTAAATTTCTGGTATCCAATTGTAAATCTGAAAATGTTAAATGTTAAAAATTTGTAGATAGGTCTAGCAAATGAAGTCGCTCACCTTGTTCAACTTTAGGAATATACAGGGCCTGGCCACGTTATAGCCAAAGTTGTTTTCAGCTGTACATGGTGCGAAGCTGGATACCTCAATGCCGCAGACTTTGTCTTCCTTTGGAGGCTGCTCGAAGCTGCAATTTACTTGATTCTGCTTCTCAAGATCCTCGTAAGCTATGAACATTATATAACCATTAACGCGATCGTTTGGGTTAGGATTTTAACAAAAGGTAAAGTCTATTTTGGCATTTAGTTTTGTGTTTTGCATAGCAATATGTCGGTCTATTAGATTTTAGGTAGAGACAACAATAACTTACTGTGATCTTTTTAGAAGAATGTCAAAAATCAAAATGTTATATTAACAAAATTTAAAATCATTTAATAGTATAGCTTCGAGTGCCGAAGCTTACCATGATCTTCCATATACAAAATACAGAATACATATATAAATTTATACTACAAACAGAACATGGCAGACTCAGCTCTATTTCAGACAAGAAATAGCTCAGCAATTTAGAAAATAAATCTTATATTTATTTATATTAATACTGATCGAAATTAGTTCATTTGGACATGACAACGACGAAAGATTAGTTTATAAGAATTGCATATTACAACCCAAGTTCAAGTCCGTCAACATATTCTTAATATTATTGTCTGTAAATGTACAAAAAAATCAAATCGACACTTTCCATGCTTTGATAATGGTCTGATTTAATTTCATAAACATATTCCGGCTAAGAAAAGGCAAACATTTGCGCGTTAAAGTTTTATATTTTATCCAATTGTTAATAAATTATATAAAACAATTTTGAAAAATGTCAACTTTACAATGAAGTAAATTAGCTGTCAAGAAATATATTTTAATTTTAAAATAAAAATATATATACTTACATTTCAGGAAACGAGAGGTCTCGTCTACCCAGTATTTGTAGTTGTCCTTCTTAGACGATTCGTACCAAACTAATGTGCTCTCAACATTCGCTTCTGGGGGCATTGGTCGGAAGCCGAGACCTATTGTGAAGGGAACATAAAAGGAAGGAGGGGTAAGCCTTAAAAGATGACTTTCGAAAAGTTTCAACATCAGTTAAAATGTTTAGTACTCGTATCCATATTTTTTGAACTCTTCGTAATTCTTGCTTAATCTTGAAACTGCGGTAAGCTAAAGTTATAAATCGTTGCAGTTAAAACCAAAATGTTAAATGTTATAAATATATTTAGCAGTTTAAATTAATTTCTTATATTTAAATTATTGAATACTGAGAAGAGGGAGAGCTGAATCGAGTGCCGCGACTGTCATCTACTCTGCAGATATCTTTTTCTTCAACTCTTTTGACTTTGTTTCTGATACAAACCTGGGTTGGATCCAATCAAACCATTATCAAGCATCCATTTTGGCTTTTCATTGTCCAGCGTTTGATAAAATACCGTAAAAATGGCAGCAAAGAATCCGGTTAACGCCGCATAAAATATTATGTAGAACAGAAGAATTTTTGCTAAAAAGATTTAAAATATGAATAATAATTAGGTAATGTCATAAGGGTTAGGCTTATTTTCCAAGCTTCATCAATTAAGTGGTTTGTCCTTTTTGTTATAAGACATTTTCAGCTTGTGTACTTTATATTTTTCTAGTTCCTATTTTTAAGCACAGCTAGGTTTAAGTTAAGCCCTTGCAAACTGTTAATCCCTTAATAGAAATTTGTTAATATTAAAGTAAAGTAAATAATAGGATATATAATATCATTAAATTAATTTTTTCTAAATGGAATTTTAACTAATTTGATTATATCACCCACATTATTGTATCAGTTTCTCATTACTGTGAGCTGTCTTTTAAAAACATATTTTAAGTACGTTAGCGTCAGGGTCAAGTCTAATAGAGGCAAGAAAGAGCCCCAATCATGCATTATTTCTTTCAAATTTACGTTGACTTCAAGAGGCAAATTTGCTGGACATAAATTCTCATTCAGTTATTCTTACGGGATGTGAGATGCTCGTGTATTTCCGATCATAATCTAGATTAATTGACGCAAATAGATTAATGTACATCATTCATTAAATCGTGCAAATGTGTTGGATCGTGGGAAAAAGTGAAAAGTTGACTTTAGCAATGTTTAATTAATAGTCAACGAAAATTCTGCTTGAAAAAAATTAATTATAATAAATATTGAAGGAAGGATAGTATGCTTGAAAACTGAGAAGTGAATGCCGCATAAAAAGATCTAAGAAAAAAAATAAATTGGTTAACTTGCTAAATATAACTTTTGCGCACAATAGAATAAATATACCATCAATGAATTTTACTTAATAAAATCTTTTTGGGAGACTGACTAAAGGTGATTATAAATAATTCTATTTATAAAAGCATTCTATAAAATTTCGGACTACGACAGGTATGGGATATTAATCCAGCCGCGAGATTTAATAAATAAAACAAGAGGAAACGCTATAGTCGAGTGCCGCGACTATAAGATACCCTTTACTGTTTTACACAATTTAAAAATATTATTTTGCTAGTGGAAATTCACAAGGCACCACCTATTGTCAGAGGAAGCATGTTGAGTATGCTTATAGTGACGTCACTGCCCATGTAGGGCCTTATAACCTTAATTTCTTCATAAATAGGGAAATAATGTTCCGATTTAAAAAACGAAGGTATTCATAATAATATTAAAGACGCCACAGTTTTCCGTGGTTTGTGGGCGTTAGAGTAGGCGTGGCCGGGTGCAACTTCGTGGAAAGTTGCAGAGGCATCTCTTAAATACGTATTCTTAAGCAAAATGTTGTAGCTTTTATAGTTTTCAAGATCTTTGCATTTTTCGTTTTTCGGGTTTTGTGGGCGTTAGAGTGGGCGTGGCTTGATCGGAAAAAAAGAATTCGCATTGGGAGCATCATAAAAACCTACATGCTAAATCTATCTCTTATAGTTACCGAGATTTCCGCATTTCTAGAAAATCCGAAAACCGGCTTTTGAGCCTTGTGGGCGTATAGGTGGGTGTGGTCGTACCACTATACCACTATAAGATGCGCTGGCAGCAAAAGATTATACGTACTGAATTTCAATTTTCTAGCTCTAATAGTTCCTGAGATTTCATCGGTTTTAGTTTTTCGCGATTTGTGGGCGTTAGAGTGGGCGTGGCAGGATACTGTAATACACTTGCGGTGCGTATGGACCTCAAGAATCTTTATGGTTAATCTCAACTTTGTATCTCTTATAGTTCCTGAGATCTCAACGTTCATACGGACAGACTGACAGACAGACGGACATGGCTCATTCGTCTTCGCTATTCATCCTGATCAAGAATATATATAATTTATAGGGTCGGAAACGCTTCCTTCTTCTTCTGTTACATACTTTTCAACGAATCTAGTATACCCTTTTACTCTACGAGTAACGGGTATAATAATAAAAAACATACATTATTTCAGAATCTTAACAATGCTGGAATGACTAGTCCTATCAATGTAACTTTCACTGTGTTCAATTAAAAAAACAAATTTGAGTGACCTCTAGAATATATTGAAAAAAATATACCATAAAAAATATATATTTTACTAATCACGATTATACGCCGAGACAATCTACCCTTATTTGTCTGTGTGAACATCGAAGACTGTAAGAGCTAGGGATTGGATTGAATATAAGGTCTAGCCATGTATATTCAAGTTTACTGCTTTTGTCTGTGCGGTTACACATTATTTTCAATAAGATTGCTTTCAGTTAGTTATTTTGGGCAACGATTTAGCACTTCCCAAAACCATTTAATTAATATTTGATATTTCCGTTTCCGACGTTCCGTTGACGATTAACTTGTGGGGCCTCTGTTTGTGTGTGAAAGCACCTGACAAGGACCACCTGGAACAATTGAAGCCGTTACGTGGCTCTCCCACCCTCTTGCGCTCTCAACTGCGCTCTCGGCTTCCAAACTTTTCTTTTCTTGAACTTTGACATTTCCATAGAGCTGCACTTTAGACTGCAAAATTGTAACAAAAGAAGAGCAGGAAAGTGGCACCTGCCAACAGTGGTGCTCTCTTAATCTCTCTCTTCTAGAGCTATTCGGCATTTTCGGTGCACTTTACTTTGAAGCAAAATTAAAATAGTTGAGCATGATAAAGGCAGCATTAGGTGGTGAGCTTTCTGTTCGTTTGATGATTCCACAGTGGAACAACAAAGTGAGTACATACTCTTATCATTAATTTTAAATAAATAAATAGGCCACCAAAAGATGTCGGTGCATAATAAATAAAGGACGTTGTTTAGCCGTCAGACGAGTTAGTCTAGACGGATTTCATTTTTAAATACTAATAGTGAGAAAATAATCTCCTCGTCTTGCAGATGAAAACTAGTATAACCTTTGAAACATAAATTCCTTCCAAATTCATTTTTGTTTCTGATGAAAAGGTTTTGCTCATTGGAGGGAAGGGAAAATATACTCTTTCTGCCGGTCTCTGCCCTCTACTAATTTACGCTTAATTTCTTTTAACGTAGTTGCAGCGGATGTCTTCTACTTTCAAATACCTAATCGGTTTTTGAATAGCGTTTTTAAAAACGTATTTAACACAATTTTTAAAATCATATTTTTTCTGCTGGCTGTTTTTATTGAAAGTAAAATTCCATCCTTAGGTTTACCAAGTAAAAGATTATGTAGTTTTAAGCTTCGATTGCTAATTGTGGTGCTATTCATTTTGAGGTTAACGTATTTAGCAGTTAGGCGTCTTTTGCTGAGTGTAATTTTTAGCAGATGGATGGCTAACTTTCGGGTGTCAGTGTAAATTGCTACGATTTTTTCCACTTAATTGCTTTACTGGTAGCCTCGTTCGCTGCGACGCAAGTTGATTTGAATAATTGAAATGCCAGATGAATGTATATTTTTTAAATTGCTTATACGTTTATTGCGGCAATTGATGATAGACTGGGATTCTGTTTGAACAAAGAGATTTGTATTGATTTACGATAAAAATACCTAGTCCTGTTATAGGCAGCAATTAGTGAATTTTACATTTTAAGTAACATCAGGAATACTTGCAACATACAATAAAACATCTTACTGTTTTTACAGTGTTCATTTGTTTAAGAGAAAAAGAACATGTGTACAGCTCAATTCAACGGAAGAAGCAGAACCGCATTTGCCCCTAAGTAGGTTGCACACAGAGGCAACCGGAACCCCTTCGTTCTCGCACCTCCCTAGCAAGGTAGTAAAGAAATTAATGCTATGAGGCTAGAATTGATTTTTTTGGGTATTTTATTCAACAAACCCGAATCGGGTAATTAAAATATTTATGTATATAAAAATGAATAATATAAACACTTATAAACATTTTGACATTTTCTTTAAGGTTCTTTAAATACCAAATTATTATTATTCAAATAAAGCAACTTTGCACTACAAGTTTTCATTAAATTTTAAATCCAACTGGTACACGTCCGAAATAATTATAACAAAAAATAGTTTTTTGGTACCTTAAATCAAGAATATGAAGTTATCTAAAAAGTCGATGAAGGGTTTTCATCCACTCGGTGCCATAAAAAGTGTTGGCCCATTTGCTTCTGACATGCCATGTACACACGATATTCAATGATTAGAATTTCTTTCGCAATTATTATGTGACATGCACCTAAACTCTGGGTTTTATATCTTTGTAGGGATCCAATTACGCAATCAATGAATAACGCACTGTAACGTACGATAAATTTAGGCAGTAGTTTAATAATAATTAATAATTTATGAATTTATGTCGTTTAAACTGATCACGCCCTAGGCCTGGGTTTCTATCAGAATCATCCATTCTTATAAAAAATGCTTATGATGTACTTGTAAACTTGTTGATTTAATTTAAACGAATAAGTTTTTTTTATAATTTTGCAATCAAGAGGATAAACCATGACGGGTATGAAAACAACCTCAATAGCGATTGATTGCAATAAAAATGCCAAAAACAATTCTTCACATTAAACCAATTTCATTGATGTTTGCTTCGAGTTCTAGGTGATTATGTACGTGTACTTACCCCAACTGGAACCGGTACGTCCAAGGCATTGGCTAGTTTCACTGTTCCATAGGAATTTTTTGAAACCCTCCCACTTTCCCATTTTTACCGGCGGTGCGTAGTATTCACCAATTTTTTTATCGGCCATTTTAGTGCTTTTTCCGCTTTTGCTTTAACTTGGATTTATTTATTCGTCTTGTCACTCGGGTCGTACAAGGGTGTTTTATCTATGAAGCGAGTTCTTTTAAACAATTTGTTAGGTGCAGTTCCTTTTATGTTATGGATTAAGTTTAGGTTAACGCTTATTGGTTATTAATGTACTATATATTTTTAATTATATATATTTTGGTGTTTAATTTTTGTTGTTTTTTTCTTAATCAACTGCTTTGGTACATCATTTTTTTGTTTTTTTTTAATGTTTTGTAACAGTATTTTGTTAAGATTTGCGCTAGATTTGTTACTGAAAAGTAAAAAGATAAATTCCAATTAAGTTTTGTTTAAACAATTGTCAGTGAAAGGCCCCTGTCAAATAAGTTGGTTTTGTTTTCTGCTTTGTAATGAACACCAAGTACAATAGAATTTTATTGATTTTCTTTTATGTAAGAGTAGCCTCATCTTTACCGGAGTGTTTTTCTCAGTAATTGACATTTCTGAATTAATCAATTCTTATATGAAATATGTCTTCATTTAGTTTTGCGATACTTAGCTTTTCGCTTTTTATCCATATAGCTTTTGTAATTGGCCGCGATTCGGCGTATTCCTCTTAAATACTTATAGATAATTTGTTCCCTAAACCAACAGATTTCATGCTTCCGGCTCTATAGACCCTAATTACACTTTATCAAAGAATTTCTTGAATATTTTAATACATTTTTACAACTATATTTACTTAAACAATATGAGCTCACTAGCGAAAAATAAATTGAAGTCACCTCTGCCGTTTTTGGTCACACGCTCTGCCAACTGTTATGTAATCTTAATTGTGGAAAAAAGCATCGGCAGCCAAGCAGCTATGAGCATGCGCCGGGGCACGAAGGGAGCAAAAATGCGTTGAAGAGAACGCAACTGGAATTAAAATCCACTTTCTTGGAAGGTTATTTGTGCCCCTTCTGGGGGCAGGGGTTAGGGCAGGGTTCCAAGCCATGAAATTTGACAGCTGGGCTCCAGCCAACAAGGAGATTTCGGAGGGGGATGGCGTGTAGCCGCTGGGCTCAGTGCAAATTCGATGTTAGAAACCGCCGGGAATTACTTTGCAGTATTGCAACCCCGTTTAGCTGACGCCCAAAGGTAGCAACACAGTTCTTGGAATCAATTCCGGACAATGCGGACTCTTAGTTGCGGCTGGGGCTTCGGACAAAAATACCAGTTCGGAGGCTTCCTGACGATGTAGATTACGCCATAGGATGATGTTGATTACCACAGGAGTCTCGTCCTGGATCAGTTCTCTTTTTCCATGGAAAGATTGGCACCACAAATCTCTTGCCGTGACTTACATTTTCTTCTGTAGCTGGCAACGCCGCTGCCAACGTCGCTGTCTTTCACGGCGCTCATTGCGCAACGCGCCCGACTCGATTCGGCTCTGATTCAGCTTTTGCCTTTGCCTTTGGTTCTATTTCTGTTTCTACGGCTTTGCTGCCTTTGGCTGAGTGTGGTGGGTGGTTCAACGGGGGTGTGAGTCTATATGTGAATGCCTAGCCTAGTAAAGGCCAAGCGCACAAATGTAGGCAACGCCAAGCCCTCTCCCTCACAAACACAGAGGCACAATGCTGTGGTTGGGGATACACAAATAGGTATTTCATTCCCTTATGGAGCTTAGGGCAATTTCCCTAGTTATTCGGATCTGCATTTCAATTCTTAAAAATCGATAGCACTACCAATCCCAACTTAAGCAAATCGTCCTTGACCAGTGGGCACCGTAATTAACACCATTCGGCTAAAACCTTTTCAAATGCACTCGCTATTCTATAAGGAATATTCACTTCCACTACTGGCGCTTCTAAGCTTCCATTATTAATATCTTATTCACTCACTCTCACACACGAACACTTAATTTTACTAGTTTTTTGATTCGCTTTTGTCCTCGTTGTTTTTGTTGTTGTAGACAGCTAGGAAAAAATCGAATTTCAGTATGTATATAAGTTTTACAAGGATATCTGTGCTGCTGTCGCAGTGTCCTCATTGCAGTCGTCGACGTAATCAATGAAAATTTTTTCTTGGCACGACGACTTTTCTCCTTCCTATTTGATTATAGCTAAAATTATTGGGCACTTGGTTCGATTCGCATATGATACTTTTAATACGTTTATTTCAATCACTGTCTGCCGAGCACATCGATAACTTTATTTGTTTAATTTTATGTTTGTGGATTTTTATGTAACCAGCTATTTGTGGGAATGTGTAGGACTGATATTGGAATGACACACATACAGAATGGATTTTCTTTCGCCTTCAAACGCTCTCCCTCTACGCAGACTTGTACATAATAGCTCCAGATATAGTGGTATATATATAAATATATATATATCTATATGCCGTTAATCCGCCAGCAAGTGCGAGTAGCAACCGTCCACAGTTAAAACGCCAATGATAGTGCCTTCGTTGCCACAGCTTGCAGCTGCCCTATCGGTAAAGGTTCGGCTCGCCTTTGCGTTCGGCTCCGGCCAACTTCGTCGGTTTTGCGCGTGGGGCGAAAAACGGCAACTCTCCTAAGCTTTTGTTTGACGCTGAGCTTTCTGCTCAGCTGAGAGGTATGCGACTAAGCGCTGGAATAGCTAGCTGTGGAACTTTGTGTAGGCGGCGTGGGTGAAGAGTAAAGAGTGGTGCATTCCGGGGGCCAAGAATTTAGATACTTTTGTGACGTGCCGTTCATTTCTCCCAATGACTCTAAAACCGTGAGAGTGCCTTCGTTCCATCTTAGCTTTTATTTTCCCAACAAGCCTATACGTGAAGATATAAGGACACTTTTTAAACGGAACACCACTTCAGGACTATTAACAGCGAATAATCAAATAAATGTAAAGCAGAAGAGCACTAAAAATAAGCTTACAAGCTTACAAGTTTGTACTTTCTTAGCACTCCCTCTCTGATTTTTGACAACCATTTTAATAGTTTAACGACTAAGTTACTGGTAGAAAAGTATATATTATGTTCGTGAAAAAGTATCTAAAAGGAAGTATAATCTTCTACCCTATTCTCGATTAGGTGTAGCAGATAAGTCGATCTTGAAATACGAAATTAAGAAGGACCTACTATAAAGATTTCCATTGACAATATTGGAAATTGCAAATTAACTGGTAAGCTTACAGGGACGTACAAGATCGACAATCACTTCGCTCTCAATCACTAAAAGCTCACTAAGCCCTGAGTTCCGGGAGTAAAAAATTGTTTTCAAACAACGCTGAGCACAATAGAGTTTAAAGAAGAAAAAAATTAAACTCCGTCGGAAGTTTATTTGGTCTATTAAGGGACGACTACGAGATAATTGTAATGATACGAACCGGCGTAGTCATACTTTCCCGGAAGGTGGACCTTAAAGATTGGATGCTGCAGCATTAAAACGATTAGCGGAAAAAATAGAAATGAAAACGACGATGAAAAAGTGACGCTCTGTCTTGCCATAGCTTTCAATCTAGAGGTTTCAATTTTTCACATATAAATTTTTGTATGTTATAAATTTAATTTTATTTAGGCTTAGTAATGATTAGACATTATTCCGTAATAAAAACATTTAGGAACTATAAATTAATTAACTTTACTATAAAGTTACGAAGTTTTTTGCGGTATAAATAGATGTATTATGTCATGTCATGTACATGTCTAAGGTCAACTTATTTTGAATAAAACTAAATTAATGAAAATAGTGTGGAAAGGGTTCCGGGTTTTAATATCACCAAAAATCATTGGAGTTCGAATGTTAATGTTCCTCCAAAAGTTACTTGCACGACAGCTAGAGTTTCTGGTGCTAATCAAGTGCAGAATTTCTCTCCCCATCTAGCTCAAGCTCCTTTGAATGTTATGTGCGCGATTGACGACACGAACAAATTTCAATAGACGCAAAGCTTATCAGTAGTCCCAGAGCCATCCATGATGCCAAAGTTGACGAACTTTTAATTTTAGCGGCAAGTTTTTAAGTGCGGCTAATCAGCTTTGGTCATGCGCACTGATGCTAAGAGAAAGCTGCCTCAAGAGAGGCTCTCGTTTGGTCTGGTAATCAAATATTTATTGATTATTTTCGCTTCTGGGAGGTGTTTGGGCTCGAGTTATTTTTCAAGTAGCTGTTGGTTGTTTTGTCAAGTTAGAAAAAATAAAACGCAGCCAAGGAATAGTTAGTCCACAAAACATGCTTGGGTTTAACTCTTGTTTGTGAATGAAAAGGAGGTTTCATCATTATGTTGAGGTTTCAGATACAAAAGATTGCCTTTATTATGTTCTCAGTTCTTAATTAAAATGTCGTCATTATTTAGAGGACTAAGAAGATGCGCGCAAATAAATATAAGTCATTGCTTTGAGCAATATTTTTTTAGTCAGAGTTTGGTATTGCAGCTTAGGAGGCACTGTATGTTTTGATGGGTACTTTGGTAAAAGTCACGTGTCTGTATGGACAAAAACGTATCCTAAGAATAAAATAATATTATAGTAATATATTGGTTGAATTTTCCAAGTATGAAAATAACGCTGTGGTCGAATTCCCGGATTACTGATCGCATTCCTTATTTAACTATCATACTTTAATAATAATTGAGTTTTCGTTTCCAAACAAATACTCACTATTCCCAGAATTAACTATATGTACGCGGAAGTAGACTAAGATTTACAGCAGAAAATGTAGCCTTCTTGTTGTTGTTGTTTAGATATTCGTAATATTTAATTTACGGATTTGTAGGTATCGGCATAATATGGGAATTTTTTTTTCAAATGGAAGAAGAATTAGTTACATGCTTGGCATTTAAAAAATGGTTTAATAACCACAATTCGATAGCATCAACGGATGTACAAATTCGCTCAACGGATGTACAAATTCGCTCCCCCAAAAGGTGGAGAAATGGGTGCTTAGGGTCGTACCCACCGATCCATGAACTATTTAAGACATAAAATCTTCATATTATTATTTTAAGCTGTATGGCAGCAATTAGAGTGAAAAGTTACACATATTATAACAAGATTTGGCATTTTGACGTTAAAGATATTTTTGCTATACGTTCTTGCTTCGGTGGAACATCAAATAATATTGGTACGATACAGAGAAGATATTTGGTTTACTGTATGCATAAATTAAAAATACTAAAAATTATATTTTCAAACGAAAGGAAGCTTGTATTTAGGTTGTTTAATACGTTCATACATACATATATATAAAATAAAAAAAGAAAGTCTTATCATCCTTTGCAGAAACCCTTATCCGATTCAAATTTGTCTTCGTAACCTTAGTCTTTTAATATTCAACTGTCACGCACTTGGTTTTGAGATACTCGTTCAGCGCCTCTTGCCCCAGGTCCTTGCCATACCCGCTTTGCTTGAATCCCCCGAACGGCGCGGCCACGTCCGTTTTGTTGTATACGTTGATGAACACAGTGCCGGCCTCTATGCGATCTGCAAAGCTCAGCGCCTTGCCGATGTCCTTAGTGAAGACGCCACTGGCAAGGCCGTACTCCGTGCGATTGGCCCGCTGCATCAAGGAGTCTATGTCGCTGCCATTGAACTTGGATATGATCATGATGGGTCCAAAAGACTCCTCCTGCGCTATAAACATTTCGTCCGTGACATTCGTGAACACTGTGGGAGTGAAGAAATATCCTTTGAGATTCGGAACGCGTCCCCCTCCGTAAACTAGTTTCGCGCCTTCGGCGACGCCTCGTTGGCAGAACTCCAACAGCTTTTCAAAGTGGGCCTTGTGGTTCTGAGGCCCGTGAGCCGTTGACCGGTTGAGTGGGTCCCCGATGGTCATTGTGCGCAGATTCTTGAGGACGCGTCGGACAAATTCGTCATGGATCCGATCCTCCACAAAAAGCCGGCCAGCGGCGATGCAGTTTTCTCCCTTATTAAAGAATACCGAAGACATGCCCTGGATTAAAAAAAAATTGTTTAATTAATTTTAATCTTAAAATTGTTTAAGCTTTGTCTTCTTATACGTTAAGCCTTATTTTCGAATTTTCGGATTTTCTCGATTTTGTAGTCTTTTAACTATTTTAAATGTTTAAATGTGATATCTGCTGCTATCTATAAAAAAATGTTATCTTAGGGAAGTTTTGTCCGTATCCCTCAATTTTATCTCAGATTTTGATATTCTCTTGTAACTTGTATGACACGACCCGGTCTTTGGATGTTATTAAGGGATGCAGAAACTTCGAATTTCTTTCACTATACAGGGGTAAGTTTGAAGCGTCGGAAAATGCAATAAACCGAGAATCTTCAAAATTAAATAAAACTTTGTAGATTTATCGATAGGTTTAAGAGTCTTGAATAGAATATTAAGGTGCATATGACTGAAGGCCTATTTCTTAAATATTAAGAGAAGCATAAAAAGGGGCCTACTTACGTGTTTCACTGCTTTATCCATATCACAATCAGCGAATATGATCAGCGGACTCTTACCACCCAACTCCAGGGAGCACTTTTTGAGGTTCGAGTCTGCACAGGACTTCATTATGTGCTGGCCAACGGGCGTGGATCCTGTGAAACCAAGCTTCCGGACCAGTTTATGATCGGCCACTGCCTGGCCTGCATCTGATCCTTTACCTGGCAGAACATTGATTACGCCTGGTGGAAATCCGGCTCGGACAGCCAGCTCGGCAAACTTTAGGGCGGTTAGTGGGCAGGTCTGGGCGGGTTTGATTAGACATGTATTTCCCGCCGCAATGCAAGCGGCCATTTTCCATGAGAGCATCATCAAAGGGTAGTTCCAGGGCGTGATTAGCCCGCAGACTCCTATTGGCTCCTTGCGGGTGAAGGTCAGGACGTTATTCGGTCTCGCGGGGTTTACGGGGATCGTGCTACCATGAATTTTGTCGCACCATCCCGCAAAATAGCGCCACGCGTCAATGGACATGCCCACGTGGGTCTTAAGGGCTAGCGTGTAAACGGCCCCAGAGTCTACCGACTCAATGGTAGCCAGCTCCTCCTTATGCAGCTCCATGAGATCGGCCAGTTTAAGCATTAGCTGGCCTCGTTGCCTGGCCGTGACTTGCTTCCACGAACCATAAAAAGCAGAATGCGCTGCCTGCACTGCCTTGTTCACATCGCCAGCGGAAGCGCAGGCCACCTTGCAGATCACTTCCTCATTGGTCGGATTAACAATGTCTAAAGTGCGTTGCGCTTCTGCGTCGACAAACTCGCCGTTGATAAATAGTTGCGTGGGCACTCGGATCTCCCTTTTGTTGGCTCTCAGTGTGAATCCCTCAAAGTTTACCAGCTGGTCACCGGAACCTTCGCTGCCCTGGCGAAGAATCTTCACCAGCTGGCCAAAGAACTCTTCAAATACAGGTGCCATGAAAACATGCTCGTTGTCCAGCGGCACATCAAATGCTTCTTTGACCTCCTCTACTAAACGAACTACATCCATTGAGCCTGCGCCAGCTGCAAAAAAATCGGTCGAGGACTCGATTTGTTCCTTGAGTATCGCTTGCCAAATTTCGGCTAGCAATGTTTGTTTAGCCAACTCAACCTCGCTGAAATCAGTGATAGGCTGCAGTGCGGTCTGTTTGAACCATTCGCTCGCACTAATCACCTTGGAGCCACGCTTGATGCGGCGAATGTTGACGAATTCACCGTCGGTTCCCTCGATTAGAAGACCACCACTGTGGATCCAGGCCGGCTTGGTCAGACCCTTTAAATGCAGGGCCTGTCCATTTGAAATAGGTCCTGCGGTGTACAGATGAGCTCCAAATAGACGAATCTGTTCCTCTGTGCCATCCTCCTGTACTACAGTGGCAATGGCTCCAGGAACTGAGTCAAGTCCCCGGACAAAGTTCCAAATTTTTAATGCGGAGTTATTCAGGTTGATCACCTGGTTTTCCGACTTGAACATGGCGGGGTCATAAGTGGCTCCCACCTCCGTCTGGATAATTTTAGGCGCTGTTCCTCTGGCCACCATGTCCACGGCGACACCCATGGCCTTTACACCTTCGGGATACAGAAAGCGCTTGTATATAGTGTCTAGCGTGTCCGTGGGTTCTAGGTTCGTCTGCCGGGTCAGCAACAGAGGCCCGGTGTCCAGACCATCGTCCGCCCAGAAGATACTGAATCCGGCCACCTCGTCGCCCTCGATCAGTGTCCATGATATTGCACTGGCTCCGCGGTGGCGTGGCAGTATGGATGGGTGGTAGCAGATGCTGCCAAGTGGTGCACCGTCAATCACCTCCATGGGAATAAATTGCGAGCAAAAGGGTAAAACATTTAGGGTAGCGCCCACCGACTTGTATTGTTCCAAGACATCGGGCAGAGCCACTCCTTTGCGACGCCAGATTGCAAACTTAAACACAGGTATTTTGTGGATGGCGGCAGTGGTAGCCAAAATGTCCTCACGGCTGCCCTTGTCAGGAATAGTAAAGACTCCAACAATCTGGATATTCGATTGCTCCAACAGCAGCTCTAAAACTTCTGCAGCAAAATTGCTCTGTCCAATGATGGCAACTCTTAGCTTTAACTAAAAAAACGATTTGCAATAGTAATTAATATAATAACTATATTTTTACTTATATGAATATTTTTACATTTCTAAAATACAAAAGCAAATATAGTAGGGTATCCTATGAAATCCTTACTGATCACTGATCACCAAATATATACGGGTGGCCCATGTAGGTATTATCGATTATTTTGGCTTTGTCATTTCGAATGTCATTGTCAATATGTTATGTAATTTAGTAGAACGTTTGCAATTTACGAAATGGTTAAGTTTACGCTCGAAGAAAATTGGGAAATATTGATATTTTTATAGTGATTTTAAAACGCAAATCTTCAGCCACGATATACAAGTAAATATGTACAGATTTGTAGGTATGTATGCACATAACAAACACCAATTTACGTTATAAAATACCCCTTAAAATCTTTAATTTATTTGACTTATTATTTTATTTTAGTTTAATTATGTTATTTTGTCGCAAGAAACGTAAATAAATGGGCACATTTCGCATGTCACACACAACACTGTCAATGCTTTCTAATGCTAACTAGTTTTAGCGATACCTTTTGAGTTAGGTATCGTTAAGGCATTCAAGTTGCCTCCGAACAATCTATCGGTGCGCAATGTCATTAACTGTGCTGCCGTCCACATTAATTTTACATATTATAAGTATTCAGGGAAAAGAGGTAAGAGAATTTTATAGAGAACACCTTCATTTTAATTTAATTAAAAGGTTCCACAAATCAATAACACTCATACTAACAGCCATAACAGGTGTCACTCCTTCAGCACACTTAAAATCAAAAATTATCCTTAGCAAAAGGTTTTTAAAAATGAACTTAGAAGACTTGGTATATTTCCTCTGAGTTACTTTTGCTGGGCCTCAAACTATCAACTGAAATCGTGTGAACAAATCGGGTCGTATTTATACCTTGGCAACACATGAGCGTTTGATTATCGTTGTCGAATGATTATAAGCAAAAACAAAATTAGAATCAATCTAGAGGCAGCATAATGCCTCTGTTGTGGGCTCACTTTACGTATATATCATAATTAAATTATAGAAACAGCCTTATCAGCCTTAGCCTAGAAAGCAAACGCTGAAGCAAACGCCTCGGGAAACGGGTATGGTGTGCATTTTCCACGACCAGAGGCCCAGACTATTTTTAATTGGAAATTAAATTCGCCAGGTGTAGAAATATTTACTTTATTTAGAACTTAACTCGAGATTTATTGGGTGGTTTAAATTCTCTGAAATATATTTTACGGTTGGCCATATTGTGTCATTATATTTTCCCAACATACCAAAGTAACCAATCAACTAGGCGACCCACCACTTTTACTCTCAAAAGCTATGTTTGGTTCAACTGAGAACCTAAATAATCGGATCAATTAGCAAATTAGTTGATTTTAGCACTACCTAGTGTTTGAAGGCAGTCTTTTAAGTATCTAGTTAATACGCAACAGTGAGGCATGCTGTATGCATTACAACCGTTTCTCAAGTACTTTGCTCTGCTGGGCCTTGTGCCGTGGTCGGAGAGCTGTGCCCACTTTCAGTTTATGCAGAAAGTGTACTCGTGTTTCCTAATTGTTTTTAATTTTGGCACTTTCGGAATTTCCCTTTATTTTCCTCAGCCGTCAGAACTTTTCATCTCCCTAATGGTAAATGTGATTGTTTTCGTGGCTAAGACTGCGTGCGTCACTGTCATCGTGCTGCAAATGATTATTAAATACGATGACTACTACAGGTTCTGTAAGGAAATGAAGTGTCTGGGACTACGACTTCAGTGCGAACTTAATATCGATTTAGGGGGGTTAAGCTGGCAGTCTTATGTCAAAGTTTTTGGACTTGGTATTGGCTTTCTGGTTGCAATAATACCCTCCGTTTATGTTGCTTTGAGCGGAAGCCTCATCTACTTTTGGTCCTCGCTTTTGTCTATCCTTATTATAAGGATGCAATGTATATTGATGCTCCTCTATGTAGATTTGCTGGGTCACCATGTATGCCTTCTTGGTAAACGCATTAAAAACGTAATCGACTGCCACATGATGGGCGCCAAATGCATTCCGGATGGTAATGGCCATCAGCTTTGCTCATTGGAGTTTCTATTAGCCCTTAAGCAGAGCCATATGGAGCTCTATCATCTGTTCAGCCACTTTAATGACTTGTTCGGCTGGAGCATACTCAGCATCTACGTGGTTCTGTTCTCAGACAGTACGGTAAACATTTACTGGACGCAGCAAGTTCTGGCTGAGGTCTATGAGCACATCTATTTATATGCAACATTTTCAGTTTTTATTCCCTCATTCATAATTATTTTTGTATTTTGCCGCTGCGGAGAGTTCTGCAAAAGACAGGTGAGTAAAATAAAAGAATATTGTAAATTTCATTTTCCTTTTTAAATATTTTCTTGGTAAACGTTGAATGTACCTCTGATTTCAAAAACTTTTATAACCCCCTTAATTTCTCCGCTAGAATGTACTGATCGGCAGTTATTTGAGGATTTTATCCTGCCATTTCTCTGCCACAACGGTACCGGCCTATAATGATCTGCTATCAGAATTTATCATGCAAGTGGAACAAAATTTGTTGGTTATCAATGCGGAGGGATTCGTGGATACTGATAACTCGCTTCTAATGTCGGTATGGTAATCAAATTCGAAACTGATAACAATTTTGATTGAATCTGTCATTTTTAGGTATTGGCTGCAAAAGTTACGTACTTGATCGTGCTCATGCAGTTTAGTTCATAATAGCTTTTTACACATTTAATATAATCATCACCAACCTTTTGATGGAACACGCCCCTCTTATTACTAAATACTTTTCCTATTTTAAATAAAACAAACATATTAAGTAAAAAAGTATTAATCTCACCTTTCGACCAGATAAAAGCCTACGACACAACGGTACAAGCGCAATGGAAATTTTATGAATGAACCGATATGATAAGAAAGTACTTGTTTTAAAGAATAGAAAATATAACCTCTAAGAAACAGCATCAGTATTGAGTTCGATGCAGGGGTCCGAAAAAGCCAACTGATAAGCATGAATTTTAGAACTTTTTACGCAACCGGGCTTATGTCTGTTCTTTATATACAATGGAGAGCATGCGTTTAAAAGGTGCTCGCCACTGAATTTTCGGGGCCTGTCAATAAAAAGTAATTTTGATATTGGTTGGTAATGCTGATAGCCATATAAATCCATAATCAATGGTAGCCAACTGATAACCCGAACCATTGCCCTCCGTTAGAAACGAGCAAACAAACAACACAAAACCGGTTTTAATATTGCTCCATTAGGCTATAATCCGGTTTCAAGTAGTTAATGGTGTGCCAATTTTGATAGGCACATGGGGCACACTTTATAGCCCAAGTCCGTCCAATCTGTACAAGTGTTTTCTACTCTTTGTAAATTTCCTTAGATTAACGCCACTTAAGCGGTTCGTACTAGATTTCAAATTGAACTTTCCCCGCCTTATCATTGTGGGGCAATTAAAATACCACAATATATACGCTTTTGGAATGCTCATCAATTTACTTAAACAAAACGAAAAACAGTAAATATTTGGAAAAACATTTTACACACATTTTAATTAACCAATCCGGAACTGTTATTTCTTAAAGGTTACCTGAGCACTGACACTGAGCTCTTCAACTACAACAACACCATCGTCGCTCAGAATCTCAAGGTTGCACTGAATTTGTTCCGTTTTTAGATCTCGTTGAGCCAACCGACCGATTTCAAATTCATTTGGTTCTGAATCCTCAAAGTAGTCAATCATTACACATTCAGCTGGGGCATCTTTATGCAAATTGAATGCTGGCTTTGCTTTTAAATCCGCTGAGCAATTTCCTTCTTCATTTGGCGATGATTCACATGTTTCCTCGATTGCTGAGTTGTCATTCCTAACTGTATCTTGTGCCAAAATGATGTTCATCTTTTCCGTCTCCATTATTGCGGATTTGACCTCATGATTAGATAGTGGCTTCTCTGCACTTTCCACAAGCGTATAGTGGTTGTCCGACGGAGAGGTGCCTTTTCCTTTAGACAGATTTAAACTTCCATCGTTAATGTTTTGTTTAACACTAAATTCGTTGGAAACTTTGTGTTTTTCCTCATCTTCAAATATTTCCTTTTTAATAAACTCTGAATCATCGGGAACAGAGTCGGAAAGAATATTTTCATCACCATCGTCTTCACCTTCATCGCTCTCGGCAAACTCTCGTTTATCTAACATTGCAATCGTCTCAGGATCAAGAAACTCGTGTAATCTTTGAGCTATTTTCCCCCACTTCTCCCTTGCCCCAGCAGAGATCTCAGTAGGGGCTTTCGATTTATTTTCGGTTTCTTGAGCACCATTTGTTGAAGGTGGTGGTGAAAGAGGATGGGTATAGAGATTGCGTCTCGTGGCTTCTTCAAGGTCGTGCACCATTTTAAGGTCTGCCTCAAATCCATCAGAGTAAAACGATTTTAGGACTGCCTTGGGGAGCTTAGGTGGCTCTACTACGACAACCTCTTCGCCGGATTCGTAGTCGGTTGCAGGGTCACTCTTTATATCGTCATCTACACTTTTATTTGAAGGCGCATGAGAGTTTTTATCACAAAATTCTCCACGTTCTTCAACCTGAGATGTGTTCAAGTAACTCCCATTGTTCCCATCAACCGTATGATGTTCGTTTTCATTCTCTGAATTACCAAGCATCTCCCCTAAAATGTTGCTTTTTTTCTCGAAAAGCTTAGACCCACCAAGGGACAAGTTTATAGGCCCCAACTCCTTGGGAGTGTCTTGCGGTATGAGCTGGAGCTGTTTCTCCCGCTCCTCAAACTCTTTCATGCGAAGAACCATTTTCTGTAGCAAGTCATCCTCCTCATCCTTTTGGGGATTACTCTCCTTTGACGTGCCATTTTTAAAGTCCTCCTTAGAGATCATCGTCTGCAACATCTCGTTTTCTTCACTAGTAAGCTTGGGTTCTATCGATCCGGGCTTCATATAAGCTTTAAGTTCGTTGTAGCTTCGCATGCACTCGATGGCTGATTCTGCATCGTCAATTTCGGGGACCTTTTTAAGATCCAGTTTTTGAAAAAATTCGGAGTCAAGGTTCCCGAAGGTTGTCATAGCTTCCAGCGAAAAAAATTCATCTTCGGCGAGGTCTTCCTCTTTTGCTTCATCTGCGCAGCTTTCAAATGCAGATTTCATTTGATTTTGCTGCATTGCCTCAGTAACCAGATGTTCCTCGGACTTTCGTGGTTTTGGCTTATATGGGGTAGTCCATGGACGGCTAACTTTCAGCGTAAAATCCCCCTTTCCATGTGTGTATTCTTCCTCGGCTGTATCATAGTCGTCAGACTCTGTGTCACTTATTAAGGCAGGTGGAGGTGGCAGCTCTTCCAGCTCCCCTGAGCCCTTCTTCACAACCATCAAACGGTTTTCCACCACATCTAAGGTATCTTCATATTTTTCTCTTTGGCTGAAACAGCGGGTAGCGGAGGCTGCGACACGCCTCTTACGTTTCTCATTATCCTTGGCTATCAGGGTGTCCAAGCTTTCCGGTGTATCCTTGTTAAACTCCGCCAAATATTTTGATTTTAACAACTCTTGGGAGGCACGAATTTTCTCCACTCCCGAGGTCGGTTTACGACCCAGCATCAACGGCAGCTTTGGATCGGCCATTGAAGTGACAAAGTCAGAAAAGGTGTCAAGGCATTCGCGTAGGCTTTTACCACGGGCTGGATCCTCTAATTCAGGAGGCACCAACTTTTCTAGTTTTGGTTCAGCAGAGTAACTGTACTCCTCGTCAGATTCGATCGGACCGAAATCGAAACTCTTAGGTTTTTCGTCCTGTGATATTTCCTTAAAGGTCAGCTCATCAATGATATCTTTTAACAAGGAGGTACAAATACTGCCAACATCGGTTTCTTCAATGGTAATGATTTCTTCGCACACCACCTTTGTTTCAATATCATACTGGTTGATGGTCTCATCCTCTAAGTCCTGCAAGAGTTTACGTAGTGCTTCCTCGTCATCTGCCAATTTTTGGTCCATGCGAAGACAAATTTCCTCAGCCTCTTGATAACTAGCAGTATTCATAATCGGTTCGGTGAAGATGTCCTCATGTAGGGGAATTTCTTTCAATTCAGATAGAGTCAGTTGACGTAGACACTCTTCCTGTGACCATTCTTGGCTTGGCGCATCACATCCAGTTCCAAAGATTCGCTTGGGTACATTATCTGTAGCATCATCTAGTATCTTAGCAAACAAGAGTTCTTGATCATCATCTGCAGATTCTTTCAACAGTGAAATATTTAAATCGCCTACGGATTTTTCTCTTGCCTTTTCTTCTTCTCTTAGTTTCATTTTCATTCGCCGTTCAATGAACTGCTGTGCCAGAAGCGCAGACTTCGGATCCTGGACTGTCAAGTCCTCGTCTGTTTCTGTGTCTGTTTCATCAGCCTCGTCCTTTATTGGGCCGACCGAAATCTGTGCGGCCATCCTGAGTTCTTCCAGATCCTCCTCCATATGGCTACCCATCTCCTCCAAATCATGAGCACATTTGTCATTAGCCATAGCACATTCCTGCTCAAGCTCCAGCTGCTCTTTGCTCTTTGGTGTGAAGCAGGGCTCCCAATCTTCTTGATAAAAGTTCCTCGGCGTCTTGTTCTCCCCGCACAAAAATCTTTCTTCTAAGTGGTAATTTTGTGTGCATTCATTTGGAATCGAATCGAGAGATTCGTTGAGTTGTTCCTCGTCATCACCAGCAAAACTCTCGTACATTTCATCAATTAATTTGCTTTTAATTTCTTTGTTGCTAGGATCCTCTAGAGTGCTATTTTGGACTACAATTGTCAGGGCTTTGCAACTGTGCTCAAGATCTTCATTCTTATCCCGTTCTGAGCTACTGTCGAGCTCGCTAATATTTTCATTAGACTTTGTTGAATGGAGACTTGAGAGGTTTTCTACCGTGTTTTTATCCTCTTTAAAAGTGTCAAGAGGTTTTACCCCCATTTCTGGATCTGTAAATCTATTTCTATCATCATTGTCTGTCAGTTCACTTGTAATATGTATTTCCTTTAACTTTGCCTCTTCTATGGCAACACACTTCAATTTTCCAACATCTCTCTTATTGGCATGTTCTCTTTGACTAGCTCCGAAGGATTCCGAGCTTTCTGTAATTAGCCTCGTCTCATTTTCGCCGAGGTTGCCCAATTTAGTTTCATAAAGGACCTTGGGTCGCCCTTCAAGGGGCTTCCGATTGCTTATTTTCTCTGCTATATGATCGTCCTGAGAGCCTGTGCTCTCATTGTCTTCAACAGAACTAGATGAGCTGGTATTGTGCTCGGAGCTCTGGTGTTCACCCGACACCTCGTCCCACAAGTCATCGACCCCACCGTTCTCGAGCTCGGCCTTCTTGCGGCTCCTTTCTGCAACTGTATCGTCTTCAGAATCACTGGACCTCAGTAAAGTATCCTGCTGATCGGCAGGCCGGTGACTATTGCGCATGCGTATGCAACCTGTAAGAGAGAGCAGCTTGGATGCGCATATCAATTTTCTTTGGACTTGACTTACAGTTAACGCTTTCGCGTGTTTTTCTACGTTCGGCCCGGTTCCAACGTAAGTTTTCCTTTCGCTCTCCTTCGTAGCCTTCTCGCTTCCTACATACAAAATTTTATAATTATTAGTTCATTAAATAGTGTTTGTTTAGGAAAGTTGTTTTTTTTATAATAAATAAAAATTTGTTATCATCAAGCCAATATAAATGTTAAAAAGAGGTACAAGCTGTAAAAAAAAAGAGTAAAAGAGTGCTGCCACAACTTTTAGTTCTTACTAATTTACCAGATTCCCTTTTACTCTACGGGTATAATAAATTTCACCAGAAGATAAAGTCATGTTTAAACATATACGACACGAAATCTATTCGTGGTGTAAATGGGTATGATGAACTTCTTGAAAAGTATGAAACAGAAGAAATCGTTTTCGATATATGTATATGTGTATATGTATATATTTTTTGCCTGTATGTTCGGTAAGAGCTGAAAAGGTGGGATTGTTTTTCAGCCGGAATTGCCTTATATCGAGACCTCTGTTGACAAAGGTTACGACTACGTATATACATTTTATAAGGTTTGCAATACTTCATTCGAATGTTGCATACTTTTGTAAAAGCATCCTTACCAGGCTTCAGCACACGCTCGATCCCGTGGGAATACAGGACGACTATCCAAATAGGTAAGTTCTTTCTAAACGGATCAGAGTAAATAATTTAGATATTTTCATCCTTAAATACTTACGCAGGCCAGTATCAATGTTTTTCGATACTGAGGCAGTCTAGAAACTACTGGGTTTCCTTGCAGCACCAAAACCTTTAGACTGGGCATCTGCTCAAATACTTTCACAACCAAAATGTCGTCGATTCGGTTGTTTGATAAGTCCAGTACCGACAGTGTCTTACATTGAACCAAGTCGGACAAACTCTCACTGTCCTTCAGATAGTTCGATGAAATATTGAGGGTGTTCAAAACTGGCAAAATATCGGACCCAATATTTTGTATTTTTCGAATATGATTCGAGCTAAGATTGAGAGTGTCTAGCTCGCGACATGGGTCTAAGTTATCAATTTTTGTGACTAGATTATTTTGAAGAAAGAGGCACTTGAGCTTGCTCAGTTTGTCCAATCCTTGTATTTCAGAAATGGCATTGCATTCTAGCCACAGGCACTTCAACTCTGTGTATTCTTCCAAGCACTCGATGCACTGGAAGCCTGTAATGTACGCTTAATATTTAATTTCCCCTTTCTTTTAATAAGCATTACCTTGATAGTGCAAATATAGTACATCATTTAAACGCGGGGTTTGATAGAGTTTGTCTCTCTTGCAGAGTTCCATCAGTCCCTTGGTGGTCATGCGATTAAGACCTGTTATCTCTTTACGAGCGGCCACTACGCCGGCTTGTGACATTTTATCTTTTTAATATATTCTTTACAAAAATTTAATATTCTTAGTTGTTGAAAGTAAATATTTGTTGAGTCAGTTTCAGAATACCACACACGTTCTATTTTTCGTTTTTGTTATTGAGCAAACAAAATCGGAGGCCCCTACGTTGTTACTAGCAACATCAATAAATGATTGAATTTGGGGCTTTTAATTGTTCAAATCAACAAATATTGCTGATAAAGAAAAACCGCTGTTAGCATAGACATAAATTTCATAAAATTTGATAAAACTTTTGTCTTAGTAAAATGTATTTCAAAACTAATACTAAAAGCATTAAATTATTGTTTGACATTTTACAATATTTTCCTACCCACTTATACTATTACAAACGTTGGCACAAATTCAGCTTGTTTACTTGACAACAAACTATTGATTTGATTCCAATCAGGAGACTGTGCTGGCCACTCCATTAGCTTGAAATATTATTTTACCATCTGATTCATTCTCATTATTTATTTGTCAGTAAAATCGAAAATGTTGTAGAAAAGCTTATATCTCGGTAACTATAAGTGATAGAAAGTTTGGATTAAGCATGCAGGTTTTTATGATGCTCCCAATGCGAATTGTTTTTTTTCGATCAAGCCACGCCTACTCTAACGCCCACAAAACCCGAAAAATCAAAAATGCCAAAATCTCGAAAACTATGAGAGCTACAAAATTTTGCTTAGGAACACTTATTATTATGAATGCCTTCGTTTGATCTTGTCTAACTTATTTCTGTTAATATCTATCGATTTACCAAAGATTTTTCAAATCGGAACATTTTTTCGCTATTTATAAAGAAATTAAGGTTATAAGGCCTCACATGGGCAGTGACGTCACTATCAGTTACTTAACATGCTTCCTCTGACAATAGGTGGTGCCTTGTGAATTTCCACTAGCAAAATAATATTTTAAAACTTTGTAAAACAGTAACGGAAATCTTATAGTCGCGGCACTCGACTATAGCGCTTCCTCTTGTTTTCAATCGGAACTTTATTCTGGTTTTTATGAAGAAGTGTAGGTCATAAGGCCCCACATGGGCAGTGACGTTACTATCAGTTACTCAACATTCTTTCTCCGGCAATAGGTGGGAATTTCCACTAGCAAAATGAATATTTTAAAACTGTGTAAAACATTAACGGGTATCGTATAGTCGCGGCACTCGCTTATAGCGTTTCCTCTTGTTAAAACTGTTATTAAGTACCGCTTTAAAAAGGTGACCGTAAATTCTGAGAAAATTTAATTAGAGACTCATCAAAAACTGTTTTACTTAAAATGATCAATTTATTTAAAAATTCTCAGTGCTGAACATTTATTTTAAACACAGATTTAAATACGAGTACAAATACATATTAAAAACGTTACGATACTTAATTATCAATATTCAGCGTAAGGCCTGTAGATAAATCAGTGTGTATGTCTTGCAAATATGCCGCTGTGTGTTATATTAACATCGATATAAGAAACTTTACTGTAATCTCTTTTAAAGCCTCGAGATTTGCATGCAATATTTGCTTTACAAACGTACGATGTTATGTATTTCAATATAGAAATGGTAAATTCGATTTATATAGTTTTTGGTTTTCCTTTTTCCGAGTGTACAGATGCTGGTTTAATGTTTTATGAGGCCAAGACTTTTTATATCGTAGGAGAGAATGTAATGAACAACTAGTTTATTAAATAATAAAATTAGTATATGTTGATGTGTATTTCTATATATTAATTAGCAGAATTTCATTTTTAGAATATTATTTCGGTAACCAAAGTGACTTAGAATTCTTTAGGCTTTCCCAACAAACTCTCTTAACAAAAGTCGAAAGAAAAGTAAAGATCGTTACCTCAGAGGGGTTTTGAGAAAATTTCATGTCAACATATTATTATATAATTTCAAAGGCAACCAATAAACATTCACGATTTTTTCTGGGCTCTTGCCTCAAACCAACTTATATTTTCCGAAGATATCAATTTATAGCTAAAATATTCAATGTCTTATATTTGACATGAAATATGAAAATATGAAATCAACATTTAAATATAAAGGGGGCAGTTTAGTTGATCGACTGCTTCGGAAACCACCTTACATTAATGCAATTTTTTGAAACTAGTTTACATCAATTTAAAAAAATGAAACTGATAGTCTTATTATCAAAAGAGATGACAGTAACTCCTCTACTTACTTACAAACAAATAAGATGTACTAATAGTACACTGATAGTAAATTTATCAAGTCTACACAAGGGCACTTTGTAAAATCATGGAATGTGTGATTTGAGTGACTGTGTTTAGTCTCTATGCGGCGCTATGTATGTACTGTAAATTACTAAAAAGTACTGTTTAAAATTGTTGAAAATATGTTGCGCACTTTTTCTTGGTCTTTAAAAGACGCTTTCGCAGAGGATTTTACGAAGCTTTGGTTAAAAATAATAAAAACCATAAAACGGAGTCAAAAAATGAGGTTCGGTAAATTTGGTCAAGATATTTAGTTTGCCTATAATATATTTTGAGGGAATCTACGGGTAAACCAATATATATGCCCTATTTATAGATATATGTACTAATCAGCCTTCAATGGGCAAGTGAAACAAATGATTCATTTGTGATATGATTTCAAAGTACGTGCTTGTGACTGAATTCCGTTAAGAAAATCCAATGTGAATGCATTGCATGTGTGTGACAACTACAAACTACGAAAATCGGTATTCCTGTTTCAAAGGCGGCGAACCGGATCGTCGCTCCGCAATCTAAACATGATCGTAGCTCCTGCGAAAGGAACGATAGAGGCAGCAAGCGAACAGTATGGTAAGCATCTATGGAATCAAATGATTTGTAATAATAAAAGCAAAGGTATTTCGTAGACTCACCTGAATTCCAGCAACTGCCAGAACAACGGAGGCCAAGATCAAAGTCTTCGAGTCCAAAATTTCTAAAAGTTTCTGCAAGCATCCTTGCTGGGTTGCGTGAACATAGGTGCATTCCTTGGCCTCGCTTAAGTTAATTACAGAGCAACACGCCGGAGGAAGTGTTTTATTGGGAAAGTTTGTTTCCCAGTCGTTGGGCCCATTGGTTCCGCAGCAGTCCAGCTCGGTCTGCAGCAAAGTCCAAGCATCCCGATAGTCATCCCGTTCCTTGTAGTACTTCATAGTCAAGTTGAACTGACCCTCCATTAGCTGCTGCAGGCCAGAGTGCTTCACATAACCTGCAACGCCCAGTCCAATCTCGAACAGAAAGATCACCACAGCAAGAATGGCAAAGCTCAATATCATGCAGCTGCTCTCCTTCAAAGCTCCGCAACATCCCAAGAAGCAGATGACAGCAACGGCGGCGCCGACAATCATTAGAATAATGGGAGCGGTCCAGATATGATCGCTTACAAAGTTCGAATAGTGAGCATAGTTAAGCTGAACCATGCCTCCCACCAGAAAGATAAGAAGCCCTGTGAGCTGATTTAAGTAAAAGTTTAAAGAACAAATATATAAATTAAATTATATAAAAGTATTTCTGAAAATATTATATATTTATTATTTCGATATAGAACAGCCATTAAAACAAACAAATTAATAGAATCTATGAGGTGATATCTTTTGTTTTTACAAGTAAGGTGTAATAAATTAGTCAATAGTGATACAAAATAAAGATTGGAAATAAAAAAGTAAATACAAATTACATCTTATTAATTTATCTAACTTTGAAATAGATTAATTGTTTGAGTATCAATTGTGTTGGCAACTTACCGCAAAAAGAAGATTGCAGAAGAATGTCAAGTATTTGACACACGCCAAGCCGCCGGACGCCATTATACTCCAAGAAGCTTTACTTCGTCACTCGCTGGATGTCTCGTTTGTTCTAGAAAGCAAAAAGGGGTTGAAGCCTATTAATAATCAATTGGGCAGGACAACGGCGACTATAAATCAATAAAACCGTAAGCCTCAGACACACACATAGTAGGCCAGTTTCGACGAATGGCCAAGCCAACAGACCGACTGTTCCTTGGTGCCTCTGGTTCCGGAAAATAAATATCCGCCCAACCACATGTCGACCTACCCGCGGATTAACTCTGCAGCGGGTCTAGCCCTGCCACTCACTTTTCTTCTTCGGAGCAAATGAATGCAACGCTCAATGCAAGACACTTTTTCATTCGGTGGTAGATTTTCGCCTTTTTCATTTCGTTTGCTTGCATTGTGTTTGAGTGGCCTACTTTTTGAACCATTATTATTTGTTATTACATTTTCTTTGAATGGGTTGCAGCGTAGGTGTTTGTACATTTGTTACAAGGACGACCTGAATAAAAGCGGGTTGGCGTTCGAATCAATATTGTTTTTGAGACTAAGTTAAAAATGTCATATTTTTCAATTTTATAATGTTCTAAACCGTTTATTAAATGTACAAAATGCGCTTATATCACAGATTAGTTCCTTCAGCTGTAAAAAAAAATTCTTTGTTGCTTTTGAATTTTTTTATTAGTATTTTTTTGTTGATTTGATTGATTGAATGTATAACTTATTCATCCAAACTTTATTAAATTTAATGGCGCTTTCTTCTCTAATTAAAATGAAATAATATATTGCTTAGTAATTTTTCTTTTGAATGCCTTACCTAGTACAAATTGCTTGTCCTAAACTAAATGCCCTTACTATAGTCTGTCATAGCATTATTCAGAGATACATATATCTACTAAACATTCTTGTTATAAATATATTTAGATCAAAAACGTTATGTGCCAGCCAATGAGTTTGAACTCTCCAATCAGAAGAGGTCGGTTTTCCAATTAGTTCTGTCGCACTAGCCCCTCCCCGTGGTAGGCATAATTGCTACTTCACGGCAAAGCCTTCAGAATAGGGTGCCATTACAAAATCGATCGTATTGAAATTGTGTCATTGGTGTAGAAAGTGGTTGATAGCCACCGGTCAGTAGGACTGCTTGATTAGCCCTGTAAAATTCCAATGAAATATTCTGCACCTGTCGCTCGAACGAGATTCCGGAGATATAAAATATACATACATTCATTTACCACCTTGTCTACAAAACCAAAAAAGCTTCAGTTAAAGCTGCGGTATGACTCCGTATATTCACGCCATCTAAAAGGATTTTATTTAAGTGCCTAATATCCTAATAACCGCTCAAAAAAACTAAAAGTAAAATCAACATTGTGTCAATACCTTAAAAATTCTTCAAACTTATCAGTGACGTTGACCCAGTGTACCGTGACCGGTTGTTCCTGCTCCCACCTAGTAAGTTCCCCAGGGCGGGAGGAGGACGGTGTTACTGGAGCTGAACGTCAAGCCGTCCCTTGTGTCCAGATGCATGCGTGCATAATGATACAACTGGCAACATGCCGTCGGCTAATACCAGAACCCCACCAGCAGGCATGGTCGGCAGGCGTAAAAAAGGAATTCCCACACACCGAGAAACCTTTTACTGCCCGTTTGAGGCTTTTCCGAATCCGAAACGTAAGAGCTGAGAACGGAACTGCAAGCCCGAGCGGTTAACAAACCCCATCAAACTGTAGCATCTAACAAACACCACCGTCAAACCGTCAGGCACCCAGCACACACATACAGAACAGTCTCTCTGTCCGCATTCTATATCTCAGGTAAGACAACGCTAAAATCAAAACAAAGGCCAGCTAAATGGAGCGGAAGCCGTGAACCTGAAAAAAAGAAATAACTGCAGTTTCGCCTCCGTCCCCACTCGAATTCTGCTTCCTTCTCTGTACCTAGCATACACCAAATTTGAAAAATGTCAGGCACACTGATAAATATCACTCCCATCTAAATCTGTCAGATCACTATAACTATCCTGGTATGCATTTATGTATGTATGTACCTGCCCAAAATCACGGCACTGAACTTTTGATTTATCCGCACCCGCGCTCTTATCGGAGCAACAACACTTTGACGGATGTTTTTAAGTGGCACTTCGCAATGAGCGGTGATAGCTTCAATGGCTCTATCGATCTATCGATAGCGACAGCCCGTTATCGATATTATCACGACAATTGGCATTATTTACGTTAAATTTTTTTTTTTGATTTAAAATTAAAAAAAATCTAAACACGAAAAGGCATATAAAAATAATAGTAGATTTTATGAAATATCTCTGCACATTACCAATTCCATAATTTGATACGTTCTTTAGGAACTAGATAATAGGCAACATGTATCAACATTTCCACATTTTTCTAGAATTCAATTTTTCTATAGAGATATACTTTACATTTTACTAGCGCTTGTAGAAGAAGAGCTTTCATGACTGTAATGTCTCAATTGACGAAAAAAGGATACATGGATACTTTTTAACGACTATATATTGTATTCATTTGCTCTACCTTTAAAGGAAATAGGAAATAGGCTGTAAAAGAATAAACCCTTGAAAAATTCGATAAGCATCGAAATATTTCTTCTCAAACTACAAGGAAAAACTTTAATAGGTTGTAAGCAAAGACTCCAACCATTTAGACGAGTGCCGCGACTATAAGATACCCGTTACTGTTTTATACAATTTAAAAAAATTCATTTTGCTAGTGGAAATTCCCACCTATTGTCGGAGAAAGCATGTAGAGTAACTGATAGTGACGTCACTGCCCATGTGAGGCCTTATAACCTACATTTCTTCATAAATAACGATTAATGTTGCGATTTAAAAAATTTTTGTAAATCGAGCTCGAAAAACGGTTTGCGCATTTTGTGGAAAGCTGATATCTCGGTAGCTTTGAGTGATAGAAAGTTCAAATTAAGCATGTATGTTTTTAAGATTGACTTTTTCCCATCTAGACACGCCCACCCTAACGCCCACAAAACCCGAAAAACAAAATGCAAAAATTTCGGGAACGATAAAAGCTAGAAAGTTGTGAAGTTAAGAATACGTATTTTAGAGATGCCTCTGCACGCCTACTCTAACGCGCACAAACCACGGAAAACTGTGGAGTCTTCGTTTGACCTTGTATAACATAATTTTGTCAATATCTATCAATTTAGGTTATAAAGTCTAACATGGGCAGTGACGTCACGCCTTGTGATGTCCCCCTAGCAAAATTAATATTTTAAAATTGTATATAACAGAAACGGGTATCTTATTTTTTTAAATGTTTTTAATCTTAAGATGTTATTATGGCTATTAATCTAACCCTTCTACCATATTTTAATTTTTAGAGTATCTAAAGTACTATTAATATGGCAAAGAAATCGTCAGTTATGATTATTGTAACATTTGAAAGAATCATTATACCCGTTACTCGTAGAGTAAAAGGGTATACTAGATTCGATGAGAAGTATGTAACAGATAGAAGAAACCGTTTCCGACCCTATAAAGTATATTTTTGATCAGGATCTATAGCGAAGCCATGTCCGTCTGTCCGTCCGCCCGTCCGATTGAACGCTGAGACCTTAGAAACTATAACAGATACAAAGTTGAAATTAGGCGTGAAGATTCTTGAGGTCCCTACGCAGCGCAAGTTTATTTCAGCATCCTGCCGCACCCACTCAAACGCCCGCAAATCACGAAAACCTAAAATATTTGAAATCACAGGAACTATTAGAGCTAGACATACCCACTCTTACGCTCACCGTTCTTGAAAGAATGCTTTACGCATTTTGTAAAAAAGCTAATATCTCGGTAACTATAAGTGATACAAAGTTCGGATTAAGCATGTAGCACCTAGCCACGCTAAGGTGGCCGGAAAAAGTGCAAAAAACTTTGGAACTAAAAGAGATAGAAAGTTGTGCTTAAGAAGGACTTAACAGACTAGCCATGAAAATGGATGCCCTAAATAAAGCCTCCAAAGCAGAGAGCATTGAGATCTTCGTTATCCATTAGGAAATATTTTGTCCTTTTTTTTTGTCATCCTTTAAACATATTGCTGCTAGAGTCCCCCAGGTTAGCGTCCTTGGCCTAACCATCTATTTCACCTTCACTTCGAATATGCCAAATCATACACCTATGGCTGAAGTTAAAGAAAAGAATGTACTGATTGCTACATATGCTGATGATACTTCTGAAGTGGCAAAGGAAAAGTACACCCATACCGGGTTTTAACCTAAATGCAAATATTAAATAGTAGTAGCTCCACTCTTCTTCCTTAAGTTTAATAATAAAGTTTAATATAGTCTAAGGACCAAATGTAAATAAAATAAATCCTTTAACGATTAGATGCTAGAAATTGCTTAGCTTGCATGTTTACATAGACATAGTTTATTGTTCTATCAAGTCAGAAGATAGTGTTTAGTAGTAGATAGTGAAGATAGTGCTCTTTAAAAAGTGTTTCAGACTGTAGACAAAAAGAAAAGAATACCACGTATTTAACATCTGTATTTTTCTTCACTTTATTGGTAATCTTTGCTTTGCACTTAAGAATATAGACATTTATTTAATAGGTAGCATACTTTTTACATTGAATTTATAAATATGTATTAATTTACTTTCCATTACTTGTACCCAACAAATGCTCATTATTCCTTCCTAATATTATTTACAATACGAGTAATATGTTTTAATAAGTATTTTGTTACAGTAATATTTGCTTAGTTTGGGTTTCTTTTTATAACATTATATATATTATAATAGACTGTTCCCGTTGGAAAACGTTAACACTACCATCTTGCTAAACATCTATATTGCAATTCCAGTAATTTACGATTCTTCGGTTTCTGTGACCTGTGCGCAACAGAATTCGGCTAGACTACCTCATGACTCTGACTATTTACTTTTGTTCGATGTAAATAACAGTCCGATTAAGAATATTGCTCTAAAGACCCCACCATTACTAATTTCGATTTTCTTGCCTAACTGCTAATCCCCCACCATTCCCGTTCACTTAGCGTTTTTAAGACGTACCATACATAAGAAATCTCCCGAAATGATCAACTGTTTGCCTAAAACTAACAACAATTTGGACAGCTTTTAGATATTCAGTGCTCAAAACTACCATTGACTAGATGCTTGCATATCTTTGAATTTAGAAGAGACAACTTCCTGATTTTATATACACAGAAAATACACAAATCCATCAAGCTAAATATGCCCAAAATTCGAAATCCTGACTAATCAAATATAGTCAACAAGCTTAACTCAACACCCATGGGGATAAAGCCACCCTATTTTTCACTTAATTATAGCTAAGACCCATACCTACAAGCCACCCTCCCTCGTGCACACAACATCCTACGCCCGTTAACTTTCCCGACTTTGCCGACTGAGCACCGTTATTTTATTACTGTTTACCGACCGAGCGTCACTATCGTTGATATCGGCATCCCTTTTCCGCCCACTGTGTGTTCAGTACGGCGGGCCATAACGGAAGTGTGCCAATTTCAGTTTCGGTGTGTTAATTGTTTTTCTGCCCGCTTCGCCCCTGTCTCACTCATACATCCATCGCAAGTTTCAAGTGCATTAAAAAGATCATGGGTGGTAAATTAACGTATTGGGGCGTCACTTTGAAGACCGACGTTCTAACGGCTGGGATGCTAGTTAACGGTAATTGATTCCTTGCTTTTGTTGCTATTGCTGTCAATTATACATATGTACATTTCACGTGTGTATGTGCAGAGAGTAAACAGAATGTCGAACCTCTCTGAAATGAAAACTAAGCGATGACTCTATGCTAAGCCAAATGAACTTCTCACGTGCTTGCAATTATGTTATTTTTAGAAATACCGTGTATTTCCCAACATAAAACATAAAATATAAGAAAACCGTTTAACATTGTTTTTGAAAAGTCATTACATTACATACACTTTGCTATAAATATATTCGTATATGTACATACCCGAAAACACTACCTTATTAAGTTTTTACAGACGCTGAAAAGGTTATAGAAAAAGATATGATGTAAACTAATTTGTTTGTTTATAGCTTTTTCGAGTCCACTACTAAATTCGAAAAAAATCGAACTGCCTACGTTAAGTCAAACCTATATACAAAACTTTAACCTTGCAGCATTATTGGGACTTTTTTTTCTACGTATTTTTCTCTTTCAATATAAATGTGCCAATGTAAAATCTGGGATGGATTTTTCAGATAATGCTGTACCTAAAGCTTGTCTGATTTGTGCTACTTAATTAGGTCGTATCGGCCTTATTACAGGGCCTTTAAATATATGATTTGTATATATATTTTCAGCGTATTATGTCTTACCTAAAGTATACGTATATTTGTTGATATTAGAATTTGTTAAAATAACTTTTACTGGGGAGATGAGACGTGTATGATATTCATACTATTTGATTCTGGAAAATTCTAAGCTAAGAAAGAGCTCTTATAAAGACAAGTTTAGTCTTTGTGACGATTTAATAATTATACTAATGAACCAGGCCAAAAATACGGCTATAAAATAAGAAACAACAAACTGATATTCGACTTTTTAAAAGAAAAAATTTAAAAAAAAACCCCGATATAAATTTGTATATGCTCTCTCAAATAAACAAAACTCTCAAACTTTTTCGTAATCTTAGCTCGACGGGGCTGAAGATCAAGCCGGGGAGTCAGCAGATCTGTGGTTCATAAATATCATTTTGACTTTCAATTGTGTTTATACATGTGTATATCCCTTCACCAAACTTTATTTACGATCACGTATGACTTAGAGAAAATCTCGAAAGGGCTCGTCGAAATTATCGTTGATATCGGCAAAACTAGCTGCATTGTTACCCACACCAACCCCTCCAACTCCCACTCCAACTCCGACTCCAACCCCGATTGCAACACCAACACCCACTGGTGAATTCCCATTGAGTATAAGTGTGGGCTGCTGCTGCTGTGACTGCATCATGGTGGTCCCCAGGTGGCCATGGCCATGCATCGCTTGCTGGTGGTGTGGGAGGTGGCTGGCTTGCTGTTGTTGTTGCTGCTGCTGCTCCAGCGGCGTCTGCATGTGTATGGCTTGTGGCTGGAGGCTCTGCATTGCAGGACTGGCGGTTACTCCGGCAGCGTTTAACAGGCTGCCATCGGTGGCTGCCAGAAGGGCACAGTCAAAAGAGCTTCCGTTGGCCAAAGCGTCCTCGAAGCAGAGCGTCGCCGCACCGGTATTGGCAGCAATGCCACTTACTCCCACGCCACCACTTTCCGCGGAAAGATTAGAAAGGAGGACCCCACCAACGGCTCCCGAGTTTAGCTCCAAGGCCGCGGCCTCCTCGTTTCGCTTAGAGAGAATTATGTGCGTCAAATTGATGATATAGTTTTTAGCCAGTGTCAGCGTTTCGATCTTAGACAACCGCCGCTCCATCTCCACGTGCGGAATGACCTCTCGCAGTGACTGGAAGGCATCGTTCAGACTGTGCATCCGCATCCTCTCGCGTTCGTTAGACTCCAGACGGCGCATATTCCGTTCTTTGGCATTTAGAGCCCCCTTGCGCCGCCTATTGGCGTTGAGATTTGCATTGGAGGAGTTGGAGTTGGCACTATTGGGGGTAAGATTCGATGGACAGGCACCTGAGCCAGCCTGCTGAACCCGTCCGCGACTAGAAGAACCCTGGCCGCCCTGGGAACCCCCTGACGGATGCCCTGTATTAGTAGTGCTTCCTCCGTTGCTGCTGCCACCGCCGCCGCTCGTGTCATCACTCTGTGAGCTGGAATCTGTCATTTCCAGGTCATAAGTGTTATTGCTTAACTGGAAGCAACGAAAAGAACAGCTGATATTATAACCCCACCATTTCTGTTATCCCTGTTACGACCTACCTGTGAGGTGCGTCTAGTGGCTCGTCGTACTGGTCGAGAACTCCCTTCCGCCGACTCTGAAGATAGTCCATTGTGTCCGTCAGTGTTGTAATTGTTGTTGTTGTGATGCAACTGATGTTGCAACTGCATGAAGTCATGACTGCTCATTAGTTCCGTTAGCTGAGTGGCATCCATGTTTCCTTAAACTTCCAAATAAAAGTGTCCACTAAAAAGATTTAGAATGGTCACTTTTATCAGTTGACATCAAATCAGGTGGCTCACATCATTTAGCTTTCTCTTTCGTCTTTTATTATTATGTGAGCCCAAAACAAAATTTGCCTTGTAGATCCAATTTTCTTTCTTGTTAAGGTGCCAAAGGAGTCCAACTGAATTTAAATCAACTTCTACGGTAAAACGATCAAAAACATAAAAGACAAGACACTCTCAATCCCAGTTTGCCCGTTTAAAATTTATGTCTTAAAAATGAACTTCTTCTATTTTTAGTGAATCCATTTGACAAGTCGAAGATGGATAGACTTTTACTGAGGTCTTCTTATTTGGGGCTGTGATGTCCAAAATTTGGCATCTAAGTTTATACATGCAAATTATTGGGTTGAACCTAAATATTATTATATAACACGTGTGATTCGTGGAATACACCCAGAAGTGCTCGAAAAGTAGCGCAAAATTGGACCTTCCGAATGGACTACTTGAAACGGAGCCGCGGACAACATTTACATGAAGTTATTTTTAAAACGCAAATGGCATAGGCAAATTTATAGATTCCAATTAAAATGTTTATTCTTGCTTAAAAAATAATCCTATATAAGACTGATCACCATTGTTTTCACATTTTGCTAGTTTTTTTTTCAACAGAGGAACTTAACTATATCGACCCGGCTACTTCCCAGAGTAACAAACCAAACAAAATCGTCAGCTATTGCAGTTAAAGTATCTTTTGAATAAAATATAGTGTTATGATACTGATTTGTTGAAGATTTAAAAGGAATGTATTTGTGCGAACGCATATTATGAATATACTAGATTATTTGTATCTTTTTTTCATGCTGGTTCCAGTTATCCAGCATTAGACAGCTTTATAATACCTCTCGATTTCATTTGTTTTCATTATTATTGGGTGATATTATCTGTGAACCAGTTCCCTATCTGCATTTGACATTGCACGTGTACATGTACAACATTAATTAGATTGGATGACACATACCTAATATTATTCCTTGAAAGTCTATCTAGCTTTCCGATAATAATATAACAATGAAAGGTGAGATAAGTGTAGTAATGAAACACTCCTTAGGAAAAGCTTGCTTAATATCAGAAGGTAGAAGATGTCTAAATCGTTTAGTCCTAAGGCTGTACCCTAGGAAGGGTACCATGTGCTGGGCTGTATGAAGTCGGTTAGAGAACGAGGGGTATAAAAAAAAGTGCGAGAAAAACATTTACCGATGAAACGCTTTTGCGGCATTGTCGTTGTTATGGTTATGCCCTTTGGCTAACCAGCATTTGACCCGGAACCATGCTGCAGCATTTAAAGCTCGCGACAGACCAAGGGATATGCGGAACGGGAAATGTACATCGACTTTGTTGTAATAGAAAACGCGCACTTTGCAGTGCATTTCTTTCGCGGTCGGCGTTGAGTGAAACAAAAGTGTCGCTATTATTTAACGACAACCGTTCGTTGGACTTCAGACTCTTTGGAGCCTTTTAAAGAAATTGTTAAGAAATATGACAAAGCTCTACACAGCGGTAGTCCGCCTCAAAGGCGACAGTCTTAGTTTCCTCTTTGCAGTATGTATAATATTGAATTAATAAAAACGTGGTGAATGAGTTCTTCACCTTATTTGAAGTCACATTTGGTTTGCCATAAAGTCGATTTAATATTACATGTTTGTTAAAAAAGTGGACACCAACTTAAAAGTAAATGATCGCTAACCAAACCTAATTTCCTAATGTCAACAATAAGTACAATACTGGTCTGTAATATAAGGGAATTTAGTGTTTAAATATGTAGTTGACTTGACCCCAATTTCAATACCAATCAAGGCAACATTTAGGACTTTCATACTTTCCCTATTGGTAATTTTACTGAATTTCCGATTTCTTTGTCCCGCGATAGAGAAGGGTTTGAGTATCTCAGCAATGTACTCAGCAGTCAGCACCTGGTCTTGTGTAATATTTATTACGCTTTCTACTAAATAAAGAATACTTTTGTGAGCTTTTGTTTGCCTTTTCTGTGTGGGTCGACGACGTCGCATAGTTGCAACAACGCTGCACTGCATTTGACAACTGTATTGGGAATTTTGTTAAGCTATTAAATGAGGTACTGGGATATCAAGCCTGAAAGACTTAAACGCACATTGTAATTTTCAGTGAATATAAACTTGTGTTCTTCAATAGAGATTCAATCAGAATATTTGCGAAATAATCCTCAGCTTAAATTTCTACTGTAACATTTCCCTAAGGACTTCAGACCAAACATGCTTTAATATTTAAAAACTTTAAAATTTAACATTCACATTACTATAGATTTTAAATATATATACTTTTTACAACATTATTTTATAATATATTATTTCGCACACGTCAAACTTACATAAGTTTATTGAAATAATGTCCGAATATTTTTAGTCATTAAAACGCACTTTTTGGAAACTCGCACTGTTTTGATTAAATTAAATGGTTTTAAATTCGCTTAATTATATTTGTTTTTCACCGACATCTTTATCTAAATCAGCACAAAAACCTTATCTCTTTATACATATTCATTAGTTAGAGTAATCGTTGGGAGCTTCGGACCACTGGAATATTTTTTAAACATTTTAACCAATTATTGAGTTGATTAAAACCAAGTAACGACAGTGAGCGCACGAGGACCGAAAACACGGAAGCGCTGAGGATGACAGCCACTTGTGGAATGGCTGCAGGAACGAAGCGGCGCCATCGGCCGACCCGAGTCCAGGCCAAAGACGAATCACAAGCCTGGCCGATGAGCGACGAGTCGAGCAACAAGTCCACCAGCAGGAGGGGTTGGAGCTTCCACCAGCACGAGCGCGTGAGTCGAAACAGGCTGGCGAATGGAGAGCAACTGAAAAGACTCAAAAATAGAGTATAACTCTGAGTGAGCCAGCTTAAGTAATTTTATTTTAGTCTTTTCTAAGGAACAATTAGAGAAACAAAGTTGTATTGTTCACTTAATAGTTGAATATAGAAAAGGCATTCATAAAAAAATTTTATTCTTACGTCATTAATCTGCGTATTTTAGATGTCCGATGATATTAATTTAACAATCATCCCATAAAAGCTAAAAACTTTAAATCAAACAACCATTTAAGCAATCAAGGGAACGGCGAACCTAATGATATAAATAAATATAAGTTTTCCCAGATACTTTTATCATCACTGCAAAAGAAACATCTGACCATCCTAAAATATCGTATAAAAGGGTACTAAACATCGCTTAGTTCGAGTGTCACTGAGCATAAAGCCGATATACTCCATCACAGTTAAGAGGCCAGAGAAGTCTACTTCGTAGCCCTTATCACATTACACGTTATCCGGGTATAGAACATACATATATGGAGTTTCGACCCCACAGCACGTATTCGCCCAACAGGGTGGCTTGTGCCTTGGAGTTCCTAGACATGCACACCACGTGCTGAGACCGAACTCCAGACGGGGGGTATTGAGCCAGAGGGCGGCCACAGCCACAAGGGGAGAAATGGTGGTGGGTGCCAGGCCTGATTAGTCCATGTGACGCATGTTGCTCTCGACGGCCTGCATTCGACTGCGGCTGACTTTCCACTTGGCTGTCGCCAGATCCTTTGTTACCAACTCCGATTGAATGAGTGAGTTGTATACTGTTATTATTATTATCGTCTGTTTGTCCACGCTCTTGTTGCTGTTGGTTATCACAGTGCTTACGCCCTTATCGGGAGGGCTTTATCTCATGATAAACTATTGTCGGCAGATAATAAAATGTTGCTAGAAAAGCAATTTGCTTATTCGAATGTTGCCAGTTTCCCCCCTTCCAATGTCTATGTGGTTTTTTATATGACTTATATTGCTTTTGTTTGATTTGCATCAAAGGGTTTTAAATAATTGCTCCTATATTGAAGAGAAGTCAAGGATGAACTTTTGTGGGTAAAACACTGAAAAAACTTTCAGTACTCACAGTCTTTAATCTTTATGGCGATTGGTCCCTCAGCAGAATTCTGGTTTATGGCGTCATTTTTCTATTAAACAGTTTTTTCCGTGAGCTTATTATCATCCGAAAAAGACGCGCTAATTCTGTTTCTGCAATATCGCAATTTTTTACAAATATCGAATAGGCTTGAACATTTTGATCAAACCTAGATTTGTTAACGGGAACTACAGAACTTTATTTCTTTAAAAGATATCCGTTCAATTGGTAATATAGGCCACATGAGCCCTCATATAGAAATTAAAAGAAGAGATGCCACAGTCGAGTGTTTTGGGCGTTAGAGTGGGCAAGGTCAGATGCTGGAAACACACGCTCCGGTGGCATCTGTAGAATCTAGGTAGATATTCACTTCCAGCTTTCTATCTTTTATAGATCCTGCGATATCAGCGGTAATACTATAGGTGCCCCACCTTTGTGGTCGGTGGGAGTCAGAGTGGCCGTGGCTAGATAATAATCTTATTGAGCTGCGGTGCTATCCCAAGAATAAGCATGCGTAATTCAAAATCTCAATTTCTTATAGTTTCTAAAATCTTACCGCTTTTACAGAAAGACAGACAGACACTTCCTTTACACTTAATTTCCTAAAAAGATGTGAAAAAATCGACTTGGCTTTCCTTTAATTTTATACATCATTTTCAACGAATACAGAACACTCTTTTGTTGTGCGGGTAACTGGTATACTATCGTCATGTACTGAAAGATCTGGTATAAAAGTTACAATTTAATATTAGTAGGTGTACTTAAGCCTTAGCCCTCCCCATTGCTGTCATAGCCTTTGGCGTATGTCCCTTCTTCCATTTTTGTCTTCGTCCCACAAATTCCTTTTCAGCCAAGTGTTGCCAAATACAAATTGACAGTTAATATTTTTAAACTGCCAACCTAGGCATGGGTAAAAATAAAGAGCGGAGCAGCATATTGTCTACAAGGATATTATGTAAATGACGGCACCGTAAGCATTTGCTTCTTCAACCTCTTTCAGCAAAGACGTGGAAATAATAAACAGGAAGAAAGCAACAGGATAAAGCACCGGGAGGGAAGGCAAAATTGTTAAGCCGAAAGCTTCATCCAGTTCCCCGGGAAATAACCTTTTGATTATTTCAATCTAGCAGTTTTTGCCGTTTGCGGCTCCAAGACAGTTCCCCATCAACAGGTAGTTATGCCTCTGGTATTGATTTGTTGTGCATCCGTGACTTATTAAAGCGATCATTGACTTGACGTCTCATACAAATGCAAAGCAAAATGACTTTAAAATACAAAATATGTAAGATAAAAAAGTGTTTGAATAGACATAGTTATGCAACATTATTGGAACGGGAAAGAAGATTTAAAATTTATTAAAATAATATTTTAAATTGAATTGAGCAACCGAACCATTTTACTAGCTCCACCTTTTGCCAAAAAAGTATGTTCAATAACTGACGGTGACTCATAACCTGCATTTCTTAACACATTTTTTAATATGGCTCCGATTTAAACCAATTTTGGTAAATCAATTGGTAATGGCAATTATATTTGCAACGAATGCATTACTCCCTTTGTTGTAATTGTTTTGAATAGTTTTATATATCAGTATGGAATATATCAGTACTGATCTGAAAGTATGACCTTGTACGGCCTGCCGCTTAAGGATTAAGGATTACTTAATGAACTATTAACTGTGTCTATATTTATTGGAATATTTGAATCTTTATAATTAAGGATAATAAAAAAATCTTCTAATCAGACGAATATTTAAGAAGTTGGAGCTGTTATTAAGAAATTAATGTAAAAATCGTCAATATACAGGGCCGCTTACCGGTAGCATATTTCTCCTTAGAAAATGGCAAACAGAGTAACAGGTATATTATAGCCCAAGCACTTGACTAAAGCGTTCCTTCGTGTTTTTACATTTACGATTTAAATAATTTGTGGCAAATCGATAAAAATTAAACAGAAAATTTTACACAAAGACAAACGAAATCATAAATTATAATATTTTGGATGCCAAAGTTATCCGCTGCTTTGGGCGAAAGATGGTCGGATAAAAAATCACCTGTGGTGGCATCTCTAGAATATGTATGCCTAAGCCTAACATTCTAGCATTTTTGGTTTTCCGAATTTTGTGAGCGTTGCAGTAGGCGTTGCCAGATGCGGAAAATAATGCACTTTTCATTGGAAACTTCATGCTTAATCCCAACTTTATGGTTCTGAGATTTAAGCGTTCATAAGGGCAGACATGGCTTAACCGACTAGGCTTAGTTCAAGAATACATAAATATAGATATGTTAGCCTACGAGTAATGAATATGCTTATAATTTACCAGTTATATATGAGTTGTAAATGAATCTCTTAGCTTTGTTTTTGAAGTATGAAAGAATAGATTTACAGTACTAGTTTTTATGAAATAGCAGATGTTATCACAAGTGTAAGTCGAGAACTCCTTTTCCTCCCTCATTTATCAACCCATCAATCCTGACAACGGCAAAGTTGATTCAGTCCGCGGGCCCAGCAGCCAACGCCTTTAATTAAATCAAAAGAAAGGTTTCCACCACACGATTGACATTTTAAGCACCGTGATCGACTTTAACACGTTTAAAACACAAATTTCATCATAATGGTCCACTCCCACCCCAGCCATCAACATCTAAGTCGGGTCTTAGCCAAGAAGGAAAATTGCACCCGCGGTTATTTTAAAATTCTAAAGACAAGAGAAAATATTATAAGGCAATAATAAATAAAAAGGGAGCAAAGCTGCGAACGAGAGAAAAAAGTTAAGTAGGCGTTACTAGACCGGGGTCTCATCCTCGAATGCCCTCTGGGGCCAAGCCATCCCACGCGGCTTGTCATATGTCAATAGCAAAAGTCCTCGTCCTCCTCGTCCTCGACAGCTGCTCGACATTCTCACCCTCTGCTCTGCCGATCACCGCAAGAAGCCTTGTTGACAGCTCTCAACTTTCTCCTACTGTTGAGATTGGTTGGACAGGGGGTTGGCCAGTCAGCCGGCGTATTTACATTTATTAGGGCAACGCTTCTAGAGACGAGGTTGTTGTAAATATATTTTCACATAATCGAGCCTTTTAATATTTGCTTTATGGACTGTGGGGTCACTTAAAAGTCAAGTCAAAAGTGTACTATCAGCAGATATCTGCCTTTTATCAATTCCCAAAATTCTCTATTTCGTGTAGTTCTCGAGAACAACTCGCGAGAACTACTGACCGTCCGTCTGTGTTCACATTTAGGTATACTTTTTGGGTTTGTCGATGACCAACAAAATTGACAAAAAATGTTTAAAATGAAGAAGGAAAGCAAATATCCCCAGAATCTGCATGCCTAAATCCAATCTCCAGTTTTAATAGATCCCAGCGATCTCAGAGACGGTTTAACGCACATACCCTAATAAATTCTGGCATGTGATCCTGATCAAGTTTATGCTTGATACGTTAGGAAGCACTCTTACCATACCCTTTATTATATTAAAAATCTTCAATCTGATGTAAAAGCTTCAGATTTTTCAGGTTCTAAAACATAAGTTATTACACCACATTACATGTTACATTATTATTGGGAATCGATTAAATTTTATATAAGCACTGCGCAAATAGAAAAAAAAACCAGTTGCTAGTTGCCGTAGAGGACAAATTACGGTCAAAGATCGCGTTAACAGTACTCAGTTCCTTTTTTAATTAATAACTACAAATTTTAAATATATATATAC